AAAAAAAAAAAAAAAATTAAGAAAAATAAAAATAAAAATAAAAAAATAAAAGAGGGACCGACCCAGTTGACCGGCAAAATACACGGCAAATGAAGGCCAAGTCCCAAAGACTACTATCTATTTTCAAAGAAACAATAAGAGACCAATTTATAAGTAGAACTTTTGGTCAGCACGGTGGATGGTTACGATCTTGCAATTCTCGTGTCCAATATATCATTAGTACTCCGTACTATAGAGTTGATATTGAACGGCCCCCTCCCAATTACCACCCATGAATAATAATTATATTCCACCGGAACGCTCAGAGCATCAAACCCCCATGCGACCTGTAAGGTAGAACTACACTATGTAACCGTGAGATGCATGAAGTAATCGACCTTCTCCCTCCAACACGACCAGACATTCCAAGCGAATGCAACTTACCCCATTCTATCACATGCCGAAACAGCTCGGAAGAGGAAGAATCTCAACCACCAACTAAACGAACACACTAAACCTTCTGCCCAGTGCCGGATGGGGATGTTGCCGTCGTGGAGGGCACTGGAATTGGTGTTCCAGTAATGTCAGTTCTTACTAAGGTTATATCCATACCCAACATCTGACATTCAACATGATTCATGATTTGCTTCCGCTTTTTCAGCCTGGGGCAAAAATCGTGACATGTGATTCCCACCTGAAAGAAAAAGAACGACAATTAGCCGCTTGACCGCTTTCCCTATGCAGTTTCAGACACGTCAGGTTTCGTCAAAGGGTCTCCACCCCCTCGAACCAAAGTCAAAGTCCCAACAACTGGGAGCGAATTGACCGCCTTCCTGACTCGCTGTGATACGTCAATCCAATGCCCCGGCATCTAATTTCCCGATAAGGAAGATCCCAGGAGAATGCAAGGGTGCGCACAGTGATGACCCTGGTGATCTTTGATCTACTCCTTCAATTAACGAGCTAAATATTCATTACTAGTAAGGCATATCCTGAAGGAGCTCTTCATAGCAATACCCCCGAATGTACCCTGGTTTCTACAGTGCCACTTTAAACATTATTAGGGACTATTGTACTGGCTACTACAAAATAGTAAATAACCGACTACAGAAACATCCGTGTTTGCTGAACCGAAACCCTATCCACAGATCCCCCAGCCGCTGGTCACGGTGTGTACATTGTACAGGGGCGTGAACTTCTAGAAAAGAAGTACCGATGACCCACGCCCACTAGTCAAATGGCGATCCCATCCTGTGGAGGCCCCGTCCCACACTGGACACTGCAATACCGACGATAGATCGCCCATCATGGATGTTGTTGCGACGCGTGGCTGACCCGTAAATACAGGAATTGAGCAGCGAGCTGCTTCAGTTTGTGTATTAAGCGAAGTGTGTCTTGATCTCTCCGAAGCTTTAATAGTGTTGTTAGTGAACTCGGTGTTCCCATGGTTCACGTAACCCTAAGTGCTGAACTGCATCTCGCCATAAAACCGGTGGGGAAAGTTAGCTGCGGAACAAGGTACTGTGATTTTTACGATGTAGGATTACATCAGTGAGAGGGTGACACGAGGGGAAATGGTATATTGAGGAGGATTGCTTAGGATTCGTTCATTGAAAGGCCGGTATCTCGGGTATCGTTGACTCTATTTTGCTCAATGGGTGAGGTTTCTCGAGATTTTGTGGAAAATGATAGATTCTAGTTGTTTACAAGTGTGGATATGTATTTACAGCATTAGAAATAATATCCAATTGAGAATCCACAAAAATATGAGAAGCGCCGAATGAAACCAACAGACCAAAGTCTTACTCCACGAACAGATCATCATCACAGTCGTAATACCCCTCAGAAAGTTGTGTTGCCTGAAGCATCGCTATAGCATCTGCGCCTTCATATTCATCGCCACCATCACTGTCTTCGTCTTCCACCATGTCTCCGGCTGTCAGCCTTGCGACCACTTTCTGATTCACCCGGTAACAAGCTAGAATTTCATTCACCACTGATCGTGACGGTACACTACTGGCTTTTAATTCGCATATTGTCTCTCCAAAGGCATGGAGGACAAAGCTCGACTCGGGATGCTTCTTGTACGAGTATGAAGCGAGCAATTGAAGCCATGCAGCTTCACTATATCGCCAGACGAGGATCATGGGATGGTCGCCCTCGGGTGGTAGAACGGCTTTAGCCTGATCAGCGATCTCTAACGAGACATCTGAGAATGAATTTTCGCCGGTGACCGAGCGGATCCATCTGTGAAAGAGATCATCGATTTCCTGGGCGACATTTTTCAGAATCACATGAAGTTGTCCACCTTCAAGTCGGTCTTTCTCGGCCTGTGTCTGTGCCTCGTCCCACGGCCTGGTAAGATCTCTATCGTGTTCATACGTGGTCCCCGCTTTAGACAATGGCTCCTCTAGTAGCCGTAGGACACTGTCCTTCTCTTTCTGAGCGACTTCGAACCGCAGATAGTCTATTATATTGGTGAGCTTGGGTCTTCGGCTTGGATTCTTGTACGCAGGCAAATTCCGTGCCCTAGGGCTAACCCTTTTGCGATATGCTCGCCACGCGTCTTCTGATAAGCGGACCCCTCCTTTACGACCGTCCACCAAATGACTGAGGAGACAGGCGACCTCTTTAGCATTCGGTGAGTCGATCGATTCATCGTAGGATATCTTCTCGTGCTCCACAGTACACCTTCCCAGATTAGACACGATCAGGTTGAATGTAAAGGTGCTTTGAAGAAACTCATCCCATGAGTCGATATTTTCCATTGGCACATTATGAGTCTCAAGACCGAAGTGCTCTGCAGGGTAATCCATGATGGATAGGTCGGAATTACGAAACTTTTGTACAATATTCTGGTCCCAGCAAACCCACGGCATATCTCCATCGTAATCCCCACCAGACAGCATGTGTGCTAGAGGCGTTGTCCCAACAGTAGGGAAAACAATGACATCTTTGAAATGCCGGAGCTCTGGCTTCCACACAGCCCTTCGGCGCTGGATATCGGACGGGAGATGTGCGGGGAGCCGAGCTACAAGAACATCCATACCGTCGAGAAGAGTGTCTTCGAATTCACCTTCAGGGTCACGCCAGTTAGTAGAGAAGCCAAAGTGAACTTCGTCCTCTTTCAGGACTCCATATGGGTCCGCGATGCAGAATGCATATGTGGAAAGAGGTACCTCAATGTGTAGCTGGTCTACATATTGATCTAGCAGATCTATTAGACATCTCCTCAGACGCTTCCGAAGATAGTGGAAAGTCCGAGGTCCAAAGCCTGCCTCTGTCAGTCGAATAACAGCCTCCGCATCATCAGCCGTCCATTCATCCAACCGTCTGACCTTGTGAAGCATTGCAATGTTACTGCTTTCTGCTGGTGGCCTTATCTTTTGTATTAGACTGCGACAAAGAACGGGACTGTCCGACTGGACCACAGTAGCAAAGTCTTCATATACCGCCCTGATCCCAGCTCGCGTGAGATCAGCGACGTATTCCCTAATATGCCCTCCGTGCTCTAAAATAGCCAGAAGTTGAGTGTTCAGGTCCACTGTATGTAAGGGTTTGGACCATTTTACAACTTCAAAAGTGAGCTTTGCTTCATCTACAGGCTCTTGCCAGCCCGCTGGGTGGGGTTCGATTTTCAACTGCGAATCAGATATCTGAATCCACACATTACTGCCTGTTGAGATATTAGAATCATGCTTATCTACCATCCACAGACCCTTGGCCCCGGCAATTCGGCCCTGAAATGCACTAGGAGTGGTCCCGGTAATGCCTAAAGAGTCACATATCCGGTTGGCTAGACCCCTAGACATCAAAGCGCAACCATCATTCATTACCGGTGGGTTAGGGGGGTCTGCTAGATGAAGGACCTGTGATGGCTTCAAAGTAATAGTGGCAAAAGTCTTCGAAAGCCCCAATGAGATACGCTGGAAAAGTTTGCAGTTTTTCTGCTTTATATTCTCGTCTCGCGACATATGCCAGTCTAACAGAGAGTCCAAGCTCATGGGGGTGTGGTTCTCACTGTTTTGATTCGCGGGAGGTATGGGAGGTGCGTGCGGGCTCTTATCAAAGTCCACGCCATCAATTGCAAAGAAGTCCACCCTGAACTTCGGCTCTGCCTTCACTTTACGTTTCGACTTGACCTCTTCCACAAAGAAAGGCTTCCATGTTCTTCCTAGACACCGGTGGACATTCTGTGTCAGCCATAGGGCTATACTTTCTCGTAGAAGAGAAGGGTCAGATGGTAATGGGAAATGGCGCGGGGGGCGCGACGGTGCAGGCATTGTCAAGCTAAGAAATCTGTCGGATCCAAAACGGCGATGAAAGCGACATGTCCTCTCAGTCTTCAATGGTTTCAAGTTCAGCTTGAAAATGCCTGGCTCATGTTCGCTGCACCATTCTAAATCGCCTGTAAGGACAACCACTTCTGAATGCTTATCTGTCTCGAAGCTGCCAATAGCGAAATCCCAAGCATTGGTGGTTGGCTTCTCTGGGAGAGGCTTGCCATTGCGTTGGTTGTGATCTTTGATCCATTCCCAGAAGTCATCGCGTGTTTTGAAGGGTATGCTGTTACCAGCAAGCATGCGGTCAAAGGGGATATTCCAAGCTCTACCTATCCTCTCTAATTCGTACCGGTATCGTAAGGGTAGTGAGCCTGGAAAGGAATATGCCTGTGCAAATGGCCCGCAGTGAAGGAGGTCATCTATCAGTCGCTGCTCAACAGATTCGGGAGGCTCATTAACAACACTCTCGCCCATAGGCTGCGACCTTTCAAGTGCCGTTTTCAGCTCTTGGCTAAGCATATGATTCACCACCGAATCCTCGTAGACTGAGTCACACATGGGCTCAGTGGCATCCGTAATGGTCGATATGAATGAGGTATCAAGTTGATTATCGCGAGCATCAAAAATAGAGGTTGGCTCGGTAGTTGCGAAACTGACGTTTGGATCGTCATGTGCAGGTGTCACTGCATCGTATCGTCGAAACTGGTCAGGTGCCGTTAACCTCTGGAAAAATGCGGATGGTCCCCTTGTATCATTAACTTTAGGGCTTTTGAAAACCTGAGCTGGCCCTGCATCTAAATTGCACCCCTCTTCATCATGAGTGTACCCCACAGTAGGTCCGAACTCAGGGTTGTTTACTGGAGAATTTGGGGCGGTGTGAAATTCGTCCTCCTCCTCAGACATCCTTCTTTTCAGCCCTTTCGATGGGCTTGATTGCTCTGTGACTTCTTCTGTGATCCCATCAAGTCCTTCGAGGAAAGGTGAATAGGAACCCTTGGTCAAGATATACAATTCATCCCTGATCAGTTTCGCCAAGTATCTGAGACGCTCGCCTCGCTCCGACTCGGGGACATTGGCATAGCATCCATAGGTGCACGGGTCCCTTTTTAAGCGAGTATTGGAAGGAAAGCTGCCATTGGCCCACACTGGTCGAGATGCCACCCACTCCTCGAAGTTGTTAAGGGTCTCATTTAAGTTGACATTCCGGTCGTAATGAAGCCGTTTGATACCCAAATGCACGCGCCATCTGAGCGACTTCCTATTAGGTTCGAGAGATGGTGAGTGAAGCTGTGGGTTGGGGATATCTAAATCAAAATGTTCGTTAAGTTTGTCTATCAATTGGTATAAATCCTTCCCTCTCTTAGGAGTGTGAGGAAACGCCATATCCTAAGGTGGGGCCTCTGGCGAGTAATTCTGAGAGGATTATTTTCCCTCTGCTTAAGCTATGGCAGCGTATCAGATGTAAAACCATATCTCATGTTTCGATTGAGGTAGGCACTGGACCTGTTGATTTGTGGGAACGAATACTTCACCCACATGTAAACAAGTGCACAATGGATATATTCAAAAGTTATCGCCAGAACTATCGTGGGACCAAATTTCTCTCCATAACTTCTCAGGTTTAGGAGCAGTAATCAATACCCCGCAATGGAATGTACGAGGGAAGACAAGAAAATCCAGCCTCGCGAGAGACGTAGTGCAAAGCAGACATGGAGGCGGGAGGGAAAAAGTTACAGTACCTCAGGCAGCGTTTGCAACCCCACCCTCCAACGAATCACGTTGACGCTGGTGGCACCTTAGTCCCCGCAAAAGTCTTAACTGGACTGTTAAGTACCTCGATCACTTAACTGACAGTTTTCCTAATCTATTTTATTGCGTTCCGCGTGTTGCCCTGTGAACCCCCTACCTTGCCCCACTGCCAAGACAAGCCGGTCGTTGAATTTCAGACAATGACAGTTGCTGTTGCTGAGTAGACAGGTAGTACGACATGAAAGGAGACGTCCAGAGAAGCGAAGTTATTTGAGGAATGGTCGAGTATCATCCAATCAACCACGCCTCTTCCTGTAGCCCCTGACTTTAACAAGGAGGATTTTGTTTTTAGGGCTATGTCCCCTATACCTGCCTTTTTACTAGCCAAACGGTGCCTAGGACTTAGGGCTACCGCAGGCAATACAAACCTGGCCGAGCTAGTAAGTATGCAAATGAACAGTTCAGGCAGTTCAAGCAATCTGAGTACATAGATTGATTAAGCAGGTAACATATTGAGAATCAGTCTGGTTACCGAATGGCTTTGCTGGCAATCGTTGTCTTTGTCTTGTCGCCTTGTGCGACTTAGTTTCAGCTCTGTCTATTCAGGGATTATGGATTCGGCAGCCGAATCAACAGGTCTCTTAATATAGAGGACATCCCTCCTTTAATATCTTAGGAAATTCTAAGAATTAGGCCCTTCATATACTGTCCTTCTAATGTTTGAGCTAATGTAGGCCTTCCTGGCGAACTGTCTATATGGATGACACATGCAGAGACACCGAAACATTGGAGGGCGATGCTAATCAAAGATGAATCGGAATACCATATACAACATTACACCTGCTTATTAAAAGCACGAGTCCGTAACAAATAAAGTGTGCAAGCTATATAACAATCTGGGTAGGTTACCTTCTTAATTTGTGAAGTTTGGCTTTTGATTTGGCCAATGGGTCTTGCACTAATCTTGGGACGGATGATGGTAATGGTGATGATAGTGATGATGATGGAAATGATGGTGGATATGAACAGCGCCTGTCTCAGATATGCTTTTCAGATGGTGAGTTTTTAACGAACAGGATTGCATGGTCATTTGCTCGAGTAGGTTTGCCCGCCCGCTTTCTGCATATGGTACCGAGGTCGATGCACCAGAAGTCCTACTCTGTGGTGCAATATTCAACGAATATGGATCACTGATACTCCTCGACGAGGTCTGATGCTGCCGAGTGAACTCCAGGTTTCGAAGTGATTAACCGGAAAACGTTTTTGACGCTAAGGATGAAGTGCTTGAATCTTTTCAATGATCATTCCAGTTTCACAACTATTGTCTTTTACCGTTATCGATTGTCCGTCATGGTGTCTTTGCACCCTCTTGACCCAGCTACTCCGTGGGAGATTCAGCGGGCGACCGACCTAGTCAAGAAAGCTTACGAAGGTACGGAAATTCACTTCAAAGCAGCTGGTCTAGAGGAGCCTCCAAAAAGAATTTTGGTGCCTTTCCTTGATGCTGAACGCAACAAACACCCTCTTCCACTTATTTCACGCTATATATCTCTCATCTGGTATATCAAACGCACACCTCGGCTGTTTGAGGCGATAGTGGATGTGACCAATAACCAGTTTATTCACCATGCTGAATTGCCTCGGGACTTTGATGGACCGGTGGACCGTTTAGAAATGAATGAAGCAGCCCAGGTGGTCATGGCAGACTCTCGGGTGAAGGAAGAGATTAAACGGTTGAAGATCGATGATACCACAGTGGTCCTTGATCCATGGCACTATGGTGTAGACGGCGAGGAAACCCAGAGAAGACGCACCCAGGTAGAACAGCATCTTGTGAAATCGGTCGGAATGTGCTGTTGCTAACCTATACTAGGTGTTTATGTATATGCACAATCCCAAGAACAATGACCCTAACTCGAACCACTAATGTTTCCCGTTGGATTTCATGGTTACTGTCGATATCTCTGAAATGAAAGTCGAAAATATCACCCGCCTTCCCTTGGGGTCTGATCAAACCGCCACGCCTATTGGCTCGCCTGTACCTCATCGCCGAACTGACCCTTATGAAGCTGAGTATGACCATCGCATGCAAGAGAAAGCCCCCAGGACAACCATGAAACCCTACCAAGTTATTCAGCCTGAGGGGGCTTCCTTCACAGTCAAGGGTCCCTTGATCCAATGAGAGAAGTGGCGATTCCGTGTGGGATTTAACTGGCGTGAAGATGAGCAATTGCGCAGATTTAGACTATAATCACTCAGATGTCTAATTGGCCCGCCAGGGATGGCCTTGCATGATATCCTTCGATGGGAAGAGTGCATTTTACAGGCTGTCTCTTTCTGAGATGTTTGTTCCTTACGGGGATCCACGAAACCCTATATATCGTAAAGGCGCATTCGACTTGGGAAACGTTGGTGCTGGAGTGACGGCAAATAACCTGCAGCGTAAGCATTATCCAATCCGCTGTAGCGAGACTTATTCACAGCACATACTAACACTGAAACAGTTGGTTGTGATTGCCTTGGCATGATAAAGTATATCGATGGCTGTGTCGTTGCGCAAGACGGAAGCTCAGCACCAAGGCCGAACGTTATCTGCATTCACGAGATCGACAATGGAATACAGTGGAAACATACTAATCACCGAACAGGCAAGGCTGTGGTAGTTCGCAAGCGGCAACTTGTCCTTCAGACTATCATCACAGTGGCTAACTATGAATACATTTTCATGTGGTACTTCGATCAATCTGGTGAGTTGACATTCGAGACTCGCGCCACTGACATCTTCTCTACACAACCCATCAACAAAGATGTCAAGGTCCCATGGGGAGCACGAGTGGCCGATGGTGTAATGGCTCTGTATCATCAACATCTATTTGATTTACGCATCGATCCTGCCGTGGGAGGAGAGCGCAACAGTTTTGCGTTGACTGACAGCGTACCCATGCCCTGGGATGAGATTATCAATCCTTTAGGCACAGGGTACATCACCGAGCAGACTATCCTAAACCGCGCTGGTCCTGTAGGAGATGACATATCTAAGGGAAGGGTCTTCAAAATCCTGAACGAGAATGTTGAGAACCCTGTGTCCTTGACACCCATTGGTTATAAACTAGTTCCTCATCGATCTCAGGTAAATATTTCCCGCAATTACGAGTTAAGAGCTCAAGCTCACCATAGCAGATGTTACTTGCGCAACCGGGCTCATGGCACTGGAGCCGTTCTGAGTTCTGTGAGAGCCCGATCTGGGTCACCAAGTATAACGATCGCCAGCTCTTCCCCGCAGGAAACTACACAAACCAGTCATTAGGCGGAACGGGTATCAAGTCGTGGATTGAAAAGAGCCGGGATGTGGTTCGGAACGAGGATATTGTGGTCTGGCACACTTTTGGCTTCACCCACAATCCTCGTGTGGAAGACTTCCCAATCATGCCGGCCGAGATTGCTCAAGTACGCCTTGTTCCGTACAATTTCTGTCTTTATATCCCAGCCATTGATGTACCCCCATCCAATCAAGATTCCAATAAGAGCACTGAGTATAAAGCGCCTGAGGGCTCTCAATCCTCAGCGCCATCTGATTGCTCGGGTACTTGTCGGAGTTATCTGTGACGTGCTTGCGCATAAGCCATGTATATGATCAAGTTAAGAAGTGAATTGAAGGATCACGGAAGATATTGTGACAAGTTAGCAGACAGTGTTTAGCATAATGTAAGATTTTCGACAAGCTTTCAGCTAAATGGCTTTCTAAGAAAGACCGTTGTCGAGTCTAGTGACTCGGGAAAGCACGGCCATAAGCGTAGGAAAGGGGGTTATTACAAGATGAGGCGCCGTGGTAAGTGCGCTTGGTTGACGATTCTATTGCTTTTCGTTCATATATCTTTCTCCTATGTATGGGATTGGCGTTCAGACCTAGATTCTACCTCACCGGTGAAGCGCCGGCACACCTATTCACTCCGTAGTAAGGCTCTAGCAGGTGAATAGAATTTCGATTGATTGGTTGAGTGGTAGAATGGATCGAAAGAAAAACGTGTAATGAGATTTGCATGGGTATAAAATCTGCAAATGAAAACTATGACATGGAGAACAGAGAAATATACCATCTGTTTTACCATTCTCATGAACCCGTATACAAGGCGGAGTGGTGATCTAAGAGCCTGTCCTATCGTCTGCTTTCCCCTAACGTAAACAAACATAAACGCCAGTCTAAACCCATATCGCAAAAAGTGAGGAAAATAAACATCCGTTGCCTAAGGTCAAACTGATTATAGAGGCGTCTACCGCATGTATAGCGAGTCGCTTGACTCAGTTCTTGGGAATATCCGAGTGTACAACGAATCGGTCGACTCTGTGCGAGGGAATGCCCGCTGGTGAACCTTCGAAACCATACGGTCGGTGTATACACCCTTCGCTGTGCCCCGAACGACGGTCTCAAGATATTCCTTGAAGTCCACTGGCCTGAAGTCCGGGTAGAGGTCCTTGGCGATCAGATATCCGAGGTATCTGGCGTTTTCCGGGGTGTTATCGCCCCGAATACCCCAAGACAACTGATACTCAGCCAAATAGCGAGGGATGAATTTGACGGGATCGAAAGGATAAGTCTCACTAGACTGTCTGGCGGCGAGCACACGAGTGTAGACGCTTTCTTCCGGAATCTATATAACCATAGATCAGCAAATATCGCGATGCACGACAGCGTCCAAGCTACTTACGTAATTCCTTTGGATCTTCTCTTCGCTGATCTCTTCCAGCAGGTCGTAGATCTCATTCTGTGTCTTAACGGTGTTGTATGCATAGACCATCTTGTTCAATGTCCGCTCGTCATCGATGATTCTGGCAACATAGCGCCCAATGTCTCTTAAATCGGTCAAGCCCATAGGAGTGTTGCCATCGCCGACAATTTCGTTATTGGCGGAAGTCATAGCATAGTCAGCCCGTCCAGACTCCAGGCGGGGATACGAGAGTTGATACCACCAGCCGACATCGATGATGGTGTAGGGAAGGCGCAGTTGTTTAACATGGTTGTAAACCGTTTCTTTCTATAAGAGGGAAAATGGATGTCAGTGACTGACGACGAGACTCTTCCAAGGCTTTCATCAGTACTTACTTCGTCCCTCAGCCACATGATACCACCGGGGGGTGCCACAGTGATGAAGCCACATGGAACGAATCGCCTAACTCCGGCCCTCTTCGCAGCTTTGGCAAGAGGAATTTGATCCTGCTGCTCGGCAGGACCAACACAGCTGATGACGACATCGATTCCCTCGAGTGCTTCGGTAAGAGATTCTTCGGGGCCTTTCAAATCGCATCTGCGGATTTGCATGCCGCGCTCTTGGAGAGAAACGATGGCGGGCTTCTGTACCGACCGGGGGCGGACGAGGGCGTAGAGCTCCTACAGTCACGTGAAGGTGAGATTAGAACAAACGACCGAAGTTGCAACAAATCGGAGAACTGGTTTCTTACAAAGATAGGATTTTCCAAAAGTCCATTTGCAATCGAACCACCAGTTTCACCTGCTGCTCCGACGAGCAAAACCTTTGTTTTCGACATAGCGTTCTCAACGGGTGGCGAGATCAGTTATGGAAAAAAGTGTTGGTTGTGCGATAATTGGATTGGAGGGGGAACTCGAATGATGTGGGAAGTGAGAGAAATCAAACGGGAGTGTGAGAATAAGCAAGGATTTTTCCGTCCGACTGGTCTCTTTTATTTCTGTTTCGAGATTGCCTTCTCTTCCAACGCAGGATTGAAGGGTCAGTCGACGTTATAAGGGCCAGCGTCCCACACACTACCCACACTGCCTTATCCAGATTGGCCGCGGGTGGGTCGACAGTGGATGTTAAGCTCCCCAAAATGAGAGGCCCTTTTGGTGCGTGAGTTGTCTGGGAAGGGAGGGGGTGGATATTCTGCGTGATTTGACGTTCTCGCCGTCCTGAGAGATGCTACCGTGAGATAAATATGGTGAGATCTACGTGGGAGAATCTGGTGACTTTCTACTTATATATGCCAAGTACCTTTTTTTTAATCTTTTTTCTCTAACCTTCGTCAGGAGCATCGGAAGGTCGGATCGCAGAAGTTTTGGGTTTTGCCCTCACTACGGGCCGGTGACTTCGGGAGTCCCAACCCCAATACGGTTACGTCATTTTTTTTGCCCACGGCTTCCCGGCCTACAGACTGGACAAGTGACGATATCTGTTCCACCCTTTTTGTGATGGTCTCAGTTTCACACCATCATTATGATACTTACCTCTTCGCTGGTAGTCTCGACCTCTCCTCAAGCCGAGGGGTTGAGAACTGACCTCCTAATTTCAACCTGATAAATAATCCCCTATGAGCCAAAATCCACGCATTTCATCTCCTTTTTCCACATCGCTAGACTTGCTCTAATGCGGGGGAAGGAGGCCCCAATTCCCCCGGGATTTCCAAAATAGGGCCTTTTCTGCATCTCACAATTCATATTATCAGGTCTCCTTTACCCAATGATCAAACCCCCACGTCAGAGATCTTCGGATCTGCGTGGCGGCCTTGTGAGCAGGAAGGTGTTTGTAACCCTGGCAGAATGACGACATGGGACATTGCTGGGTTTGAACCCGGCTGTCATTGGTCCGTCCCCTGTTGCAGATGGAGTAGCTGTCCCACGGTTGCATATAGTTGTCCCCTTCGAGCCTGTAACTTTTCAACAAATTATCATGGTCCGCGGCTACTGGAAATTGACCCAGTAGGAAGTACACTCACTACCAATGCAACGCGACGAGGCCCATTACCCACTTAGCAACGGAGCCCCGAGCGTACTTCGGATTGACGCATGACAATGCAGTTCTTGTTCAATCTGATTGCTTTTCTCTTTTGATCGGCTGGCCACCCTGCTGATATTTATGGGTTTCCCTCCCCCGCAATCGTTGAGCTCCAGCTAATATTCTGGAGCTTTGAGTTTTATCTTTTGAGATCTTATGCGTGTGCGATAGCATCCAGCAGTGCATAAGCGGCTCATGAACCACTTGTGGAAACACGGATAAAAAGTAAATAAATGTTGATTTACTGGAGTAAACTTTACCGGCTAGACTTCGTTGCCTACCGATTACATGATAGTAACTCTTTAAGGCAAACAAGAGAATATGCACTGTTGAAAAACTAAGTCTGCGGCTCTCTTCAGGTATCCGAGGGTTCGGCACATGGATAAGCGTTCCTGACGGCGGGTTCCAGCCACTCAGACTTCGTTTTTTCACGGCGGATCTAAAACTAGTCGTACATACCTAAGTACTTAGTAGTCTGTTGTGAACCTGGCTTTAACCTCACTTTTCTTTTTACTGCATTGAGCTGATCCTCGTGACCACAATTGGCAGCCCAGCCTCGAGGCCCCCCTGTAGAAATTCTGAAACTGTCATTCTCTGTTTTGGATCAAATTTCCTCCGAAGTCGAGGCACCGGACGAGATTCCTCCGGGAGAGGGCAGGTGCCCCGAACAGAAGATGTAAGAATCGTGGCAATAAACACGCTGGCCAATGGCCCCGACCAAGAGTCGACCGGGTGGATTAACCGCTAGAAAACAAACCGCGTTCGGCTAGCCGCGATTAAGCATGGCTCAGGATGAATAGTGAGGCATGTGAGAAATAGAAATTGAATTGGTCTTTTCCTTTTCCGACTCTAGTCCCCGATCTGCAGGCTCCAGTTTCCCCCTCCTTCCGCCAATGATACGCCTAACTATGCACACACTCCTCCTAATGTCATGTAATAAATTGATGATACTATGACAGGTTTGAAGTATGGTGAGAATGTCGGTGTGATACGAAAGAAATAGTTTTCACAGCCGCGGGTAATTGTCCAGAAAAATCCTTTTCCGGTCGCCGAGTGGAGAAGACTCCTTTCTTGATATCCCTACATACCTTACCAACTATCCCCGAGTTCCTACGTAAACAGGTTACTAGTTCATAATAATTACCTGGGTAGTTTGTTCGAGTACCTCAATAGCTAACAAGCCTCAACACATAGGAAATTCTAGATCAGTGACCGTGACCAAGAAAGGCTGATCGCTGGATCTGTGGTGCGGCGTAGCATGAAAAACAACATTGGTATTATCTTAAAATGCACCTACTCTTCCTCATTGAGGGTGGAACCTTAACCCAAACTTTACCTTCAATAAATCAGAACCAAGATTCGAGGTCGAAGTCTTAATTTTAAGAAGCATCTATTCGTCACGACTTTACTTGAGGGGCAAGAAGGATGATGTCGACATACAGAGATTTTCCCCGCTCTCCGCAAATACCCCATAAAAAATATTTTCTCTCCCCGCAGCCTGACACCTGACAATCGTAAACAGTAAGTACTGCACATCGTCATCGATTCGATTTGCCATCATCCCTGATACTTCTCCAGTAGGTAGAGATTATTCTACGGTGTAGTGGTCTCGAAACTTATGATCTGCATCGATCGCGATTGACTTAACGGTACCATCTACTAAAATATAATATGCTATGGGGCAACGATCAATTCCAAATATATATATCTCTCTCTCATGCCACCTCCCCAGCTGAAACACACAGAGGTCCAAGTACATATGTACTACCCCTCAAACAAAAGGATCTTAACTCCGGGACAATCCAAGTTTCAATTGTTAAAATAATGGCTGTAGCCCCTTGTGTGGTATTATCAAAAAACTTATTACCACAGCCAGGAGGAGGAGGAGGAGGAGGAGGAGGAGGAGGTGCAGATTGACGCTAGCACAGCCTTAGGCTTCTCATTTCCAAGAGCGCGATATGCGCCTGAGAAAAACCCCTCATTGTTTACTAGTACCTTGTCATGCAACGTGAGATCCAGCACTGTCTATTCGAGATACTTTGAAATTGATATCGTCCATCTGTGCGTATCGATGGACTACTTGTAGTGCTACCATCGGCTCTTGATTTACAGCATTGGGAAGGCACCCCGGCTGATCCATGATTACCTTTCAACCTTCCACAAACGAATACCATGGCCCGTTCACGGCCTCATTACATAACAGCCGTATGGATAACTACTCATTGATATCATGTTAATTCGAGTTCTCCCGTGCCCTGTCGACGCGACCCATTACCAAATGAGAAATGTCATCAGAGCGTCACACCACCGCATCCTCCGGCTTACTGCCAACTCCCGACAATGACAGCGAGGCTCAGAGCTGTTCGCATAGTCGCAATGAGATCCAAAGCCTCTTTAATTCCTATGGAGCCGTGAAGCCAAACCAGGTCACTCTGATCGGTTAGTCGACTGGTAACATTAGCCAATTATTGGACCAGAACTGATTTTTGGCTGAAGCAATCGGAGGAGCGATCAATACTGGTTTAATGATAGCATCCGGGAACGCCCTTGCAAAGTACGGTGTTGTTTGTTGACATAACGTGATAGGTGGTGTTGACGGCTCCTTAGGGCTGGAGTAAGTATCTCACCGTGCGGTTCCCTCTGCTGATAAGTCATAATGTTGACCTGTCAACCTGCTAGCCTGCATCAGTTCTCATTTCATATACGATCGTTGGCATCTTGGTTTACCATGTCCTATGCGCTCTGGCAGAGGTGGCTTCTCCCAGGTCGTCGGCGATTGCTGATCATGCTGCGAAATTTTGTGACCCATCTCTTGGTTTCACAATAGAGTGGATGTGAGCGAATCGGTATCTCTCTTATAACTCTGCTAAATCTGGAACACAGATACTGGTTGAAGCTTTTGGTGGTCACACCGAACCAACTGACAGCAGCAGCTCTGGTAGTGTCATACTGGTTGGATGCCGACATCGTCAATCCTGGCATATGGATAACTGTGTTCATGGTAATCATACTCGGTGGGAACTACTGGGGTAGTCGGTTTATGGACCAATATGAGTTCATTCTCTCTTCTTTCAAAATCACAGTTGTTCTCGCTCTTATGATCTTTTCCCTAGTTCTAGCGCTAGGAGGCGGCCCTGATCACGATAGGATCGGATTTCGATACTGGGGAACTCCAGGTGCCTTTGCCGGCGATCATACAGCTATTGGGATACTTCGCGCCATATTCCGAACGATGCCTTCCGCCACCTTTGCATATCTAGGAAGTGAATTGATCGGGATCAATATTCTGCGTACGAAGAATACGCGAAAAACAGCGCTGCACGCAACCAAGCTAACTTTCTACCGCATCCTGGTTATCAACATCGTTACCGTTACCTTCATTGGTATGTTGGTTCCATTTGACGCCAAGGAGCTGGAATTCGCTAGGGTAAAAACAAGCTCGAGACTGTATGCGAGATCTACCTTTACCGGAGACCAACAGCCTGCCGCTTCCTCAGCAGCTGCTTTTGTGGTGGCGGTTCAGATAGCTCACATAGCTGTGATGCCGCATATTCTCAATGCGTGTTTCCTTTTGTTCATATTATCCGCTGCAAACCATTCCCTCTATATGGCAACACGGACTCTTTACAGTTTATCCCTCTCACGAAACGCTTTTGCCTTCCTGTCTCATCTCGACCGTAGAGGGACTCCGATCTACACACTCTTCGTATGCTCAGCGGTCGCCTCGCTGGCATACTTGAACATACAGGAAGATTCAAAGTGTCTCTTTAATCACTTTGTGAACTTGGTTACCATGTTCAGCATTCTCACCTGGATCTCGATTCTTATGGTTCACCTTACGCTCGCAAGGTCCCGAAAGGCAAAAGTTGAGGCTAACCCGCTCACCTTCAGGGCTCCATTTGGAGTCGCTGGATCATGGGCTGCCCTGGCTTTCTGTGTTTTTATTACGGCAATGAGGGGCTTTGACACAGTGGACTCTGATGGGAATCCTAGCGAAGTCGATTACAAGGCCATTGTCACATCATACATTGGTATCCCGTTGTATTTATTGCTGTTCATTGGTCATAAAATTTTCATTAGAAACAGAAAGAATCAGCAGGATACGGGATCAATTGAAATGGTGTCATAGTCAAGATGAGAGATAGTAGTTGAAGCAAACGTAGGTCTCTGTCAGCCTGATGTAACAAAAAACCCGGCGGAATGACTCATGTTTCAGTCTCATGAAGCCCTAGTTGCATTTTCAATAAACAACCGACCAATTTGTAGAACTACACAAGCCCTTCCACTTTTCCCTGCACGTACGATTTCCGGTCTCTATACCCACCATCTTCCCCTTTTATGATATCTTCTTCCTCCAGCTTATTCAGAAAATCCAATACCCAGTCCTGACAATTCCACCCATGAATATCGCTTCGAACGGGAAGCTCCCTTGCGATAGCCTTCAGTATGCTAGTCATGGTGCTTTCCACATCAAAGAGGAAGACAAGTTCGTCTAGACCACTCAGACACCGAGCATTCCCGTATTCAGGCTCATAGCGGAATCGACCATCGGAGCCTCGGACCTGAAGCATGATTTTGTCGGATTCATGGGGTTCGTCGATGAAAATAGCCCAGTGTTTCAAGACGCCTTCGTCGGTCATTATGGCGACGTAGACTTCGACCATTGTGGCTTGATTTGGGTCTGGTCTTGGGATGAAATGGTGTTAACTAGAGGATTTTCCTTTGGAGTAAATTAAGTCATACTAGGTTAACCCTGCCGTGATTTGTGTTGAAGGGTAAATATGAAGGAAACCAGACAAGTGAGTCTTTTTGGAGTGATTATGAAAAATGGATGTGAGGAGTCGATATGGGACGAGGCTGAGGCCGAATCATAAGTTGAACTACGACTATGACTAGGGCCTGACCAATTAGTGAACGTATCGGGAGAATGGATAGTAGTAGTTACACCCCCTCCGTTGAGTATTTCCTTCAATGGATGAATTAGTGTGAGGCACTCAGGCTCCAGAGACAGTCACCCGAGTATAAACCTCCTCTCTTCCGATGTATCGCCATATTTCCAAACCAGTCGGGCCTTGAAGTATCTCATGTTTTCTCCTTCTCTTCATGTACAAAAGACACAAAAACTGCGGTAGTCGACATTTTTTTCTGGGTGACTTCCTGATATACTTTTAATCTGTCGTACTGTGTCTGTCTGTTCTGGTTTTGTGGATGTAAGGGAAACTATGGTCTTTGGGTTATGGTACTTAATACGTACGAAAGAATCCGAGTCGGAAAATGGCATCTGAGGTTAGTATGTACATACACACTTGCAGTATTAGGAATAAGAGATTGGTGTATTAATTTAAGTACATGGTCGATCTAATCTTGCTCTTCTATTGTTTTCCACTTATCTCTGGACCCGCACGTATACAGTACCTACTCAACACTATGTGTTCGGGAAATATATGGACAAGCAACCCTCTTGCTCTCATCATCACTGGCGGCGCGAGACTCCTCTGTGACGGTGATACGTGTTGTACGAATGATCCCACCTGCTTCGAATATACCTTCATGTAGATATTCCATTGATTCAGTCCCTTTCGACTTTTCTCTTCTGATGTTGTTATTCATCTTGTAGGAGGCGCTACCATAAGCTGACATCCCTGTCCCATAGTTCTCCGAGTATCCACTAGGCTTGGTGCTCGTAGTCTTTATACCCAAGGCTCTTTTGATTTTGCGGATGGCGCCGGTCTCCTTGATAATCTTGGGGATGCAGGGCAAACATAAAATGAAAAACCCGCACGTCATCTCAGCCATGGAACAGAGAACTACGGGAGCCAAGCTGTACAGCGGATCGGCTGCGTTACGATGCATCACTATCGTGTCCAGTCTAAGTGCTGCGGAAGCACATGCCCTGTAGTGTCGTTGATGTTAGTTTATGGGGGGTTTAATTGCAGGGTGTAGGGAGGGTATAGGCTTACAATACACCGAGACTAAAGACGAATGAAACGCCCAGCCTCTTCCTCCACGTCATCTTCAACGTCCAAATAACAGGCTGTGGCAGTAGCAGCATAATCACGTCGCATGTAAGATGGACGCTAGCCGATGCCATTTGGATTTTGTACAGGTCGACACATTTGCCCGGAACGGTGAGGTCATAGATAGCTTTGTGAGGAATGCACTGGAGATTCAAGGCAAGTATTATGGCAACGCCTGCGATGACCTGGATACCAACTGTGACCATGCACCCCCACCAGAAAGCGGTTCTGGATCGCAAGCCTTGCGGGGCTAATAGTCGACACCACTCCACGAGAATGGCTATCTTCAGGAACGGAAGGACAAATGAGTAACAGACGCCGAAAACAAAGACATACTGTGTATAAGTCAGATGCTGAATTCTGGGAAGCCCTAGCTATGGAATCACCTACATAATTGGTAGGCATGAAGTCGCGCAGACGGACATCCCATTGGTGAACAAAGTAGCCAGGCATCTTGACCATGGCAAAGGCAGTATAGGTAGGTCCCCAGTAGCACCCCTGGAATTGTATTTTCAGTATCGCTCCATTATCTTTGGTTATAGGGGGAGCAAACATATGCAAGGACGACCAGGACTGTGGAAGAAAGCAGCGTTAGCATCTAGGCGCGGAGGGTATCAGGGCGAGAAAGGGCTCACTTTCTTCAAGTTGTATCTTTCCCAACAGATAAACCCTAGCATAGATACGCATCAAAAAGCATAATGTTGTGACTGCGACGCACGCAGCCAGGACGCCTATGGCAAGTGCATTTCGGTTCGGTGGATTGTCAAAGTTAGGAGTAATTCCATCTGGTGGCGGATGAGCAGGCCCGTCTAAGTCCATAGTGATTTAGACAAGCACCTTGTGAGGAAATGACAGAAATTTCAAATAGAATGGTAACAACTGCTCCATATGATGCTCCTCCACACTGCGGTTGTCTTCCATAGTCTTGAAGGACATGTCAAGCTCCGCTCTATTTCTAGATGAGTAGCTTTTTATCTACAACTGTAAAGGAGAACTCCCTGCGGTTCTTGAGCATGGTGCCGCCTTTGTCTTCTACATGTGGGAAGAGCATTTGGAGACTATTCGAAAAGCCCTAGATCTGATTTGTGGCAGATTATAGTAGAGTAGACTGCATTATTTGGGTGCGCCACCAGCCTGAAGCCGCCGAGCCAACAGCTGCCCCTAATACCATACCCTACAAAGAAGAGCCATCTCGATGGGACAGCCCCCTGCTAGGCTGCAAATGGTAGCTTCAGAATGATTCCTGTTCTGGTATAGAGCTATCCAACAGACAATGCACACGAGAAATATTATGTGTCATTAGCTTTTCTCTGGAGCCTCACATGCCAAATAAAGTTTCGGCACTCGCTATGCAACAAAGCCCTGCGGAGAGTTTTATATGCGAAAGAGACACGCTAGTCAGCCGTGGCGGCTTGGCTGCAAAGTGTCATAACTTATAAATTTGGATCATCAGGATACCCTCCCGATCTCTTTGACAGGTCAGAAGTTTTATTAAAGAAAACGAACCTTGGCGTAATTAGAAGCAGCCTTCTAGCATGTTCCTAACCCCTTTCGAAGTAAGCACGTATACCCCGTACCTAAATAAGCATCTCTCGAAATTCTCGCTTGCTGTTGAAGAAAAGGATCACTATCCCTGAGATAATATGCCGCTTTGCCTATCGACAGAGTAATAATCGTCGTGGATGGTGCACCGTGTGGGGCCTAGAGAGCCGACTACCAATGCTTCTCCCGGGCACCCCACCAAGACTACTCGTGGCAGTGCTGATAGCACTGTGCCTATATGCCGTGTCTTGATGAGGAGGATGGGCCGAATATTGAACTTACACTGTACCACGGTTTCAGGCCATATGTTACCTTACTCTCGAACCTCGGTGCGGGCAGTATGCTTGCTGACCCCTCCCATACTAATATATGGCAGGGAGGGAGGCCTCGTTCCTTTGCTTATATTACGTGCTTACACCTTTCGACTCCTACCCTGTGCTGAAATAACTTGCTATTTCTTCAGTCCCACTGTCTCCGGGCTACATGGTTACAGTTATGGCAAAACAGGAGGTCTTTTACCTGCACCCGCTTGGATGGGAGAATGATCCGGACGTGGAAAGAATTAAAGTCTCCACCCTCGACTACATGACAGCTTGCACGTATAACAACTACGCCTTGTTCTTCAAACTAGATGATGCTGATAAGCCGAAGGTAGCGGATGTGCTACAAGCAGGCCTCGAGCGTACTCTTAGTCAAGCACGACACCTTTGCGGGAAGATTGAGAAGGATGCCACAGATGGCTATTCATTCGTGAAGAGAAAGGACAGTACGGTCCGATTCTTCGTCCAGTGGCTTGACTCCCTCGAAGGAAACTTTCCGTCCTTCGATGATATAGAAAAGTCCCACTTCAGTGCCACCACATTGGGCGATCTCAACCTCTGGAGTGTTTCTCCCATGACTTATGGTGAGAAACCAGAAGCCCACCCTGATAGGAGCCCGGTAGTGGCGGCTTTCAAGGCCAACTTCATCCGCGGAGGGCTAGTCTTTATTATGCACCACCACCACTACGCCAACGACGTTCTGGGTTGGGCTGGCTTCACCCACCAGCTGGCCGAGAACTGCTATGCCATTGTCAACCAGACACCATTCCCCACTTGGGACATAGCATGCTTGGATCGCTCGCGCCTTACCAAACCGGAAGTGCCCGAAGAAGCAAAAGTAGATGGCCCGGCTTCGCCTGAGCGTCATCCGGATCACACAGTAGCCGTCTCGCTTCTTTTCCACCTACCGAAGAGCAAAGCAGCTGAATTGAAGCAGCTGGCAATGCCCACTGATGGCCCGTGGATCTCAACTTATGACGCTTTCTCAGCTTTCATCTGGCGTACCCTTTCGCGACTCCGCGCCCCTATCTTCAAGCCGGACATGTCATCTAACATATTCTGGTCCGAGGCAGTCGACATGCGCCGCCGTATGGACAATCCCAAAGTCCCACCGCGGATTCAAGGTAACATCATGTTCGCGGCCTTCTCTCCCACGGCACCGGTGCCACAACCCACCCTGGCGGAGGTCATATCCGAGTGGCCGTTTTCCAAGCTGGCATCATATATCCGGCAGCTCACCAATAGTGTTACTGAAGAAAGCCTCAGCAAGGCGCTTGATATAGTAGCAACTATTCGTGACAAGGCGGCTATGAATGTCCGAATTAACTCGTACCCACCCATGTCCATACTTCAGACTGATCACCGTGACGCCAACATGAGCGCAGCCAATTTTGGCTTTGCGACACCGGTTACATATCGCCATCTTTTGGACTGCATAAGTGAGGGTGTCATCATCATCTACCCGCCGCGCACCATGGAGCCTGGCTCCGACGAGGGTTGTGAGTTCGCCATTTCATACGAGAAGAGGTTGGCGCAGGAATTGATCAATGACCCTGAGTGGAATAAGTTCTTCGAGTACAGGGGAGTAGATGCTGAAGATGCAGCCCACTCGAAGCTCTGCAAAGAGTAAAGGGCTATGACGAGATCCGAGTAGCTTAGGTATATGAAACGTGACAATTACTAGAATGTAGTATTGCTACTATAAAGTAGTTTCTGAATGGAACTGCATGGATAAGTCATTGCATATTGGGTGAGATTATACAACCTGTAATGATCATTTATACTATTGTTCCATATAAGATAAATGTTGTACTTTAGCAGTTTAGTGTTAGTTGAAGTGAACAGGGGATGCAGCTTCAGTCGTGACCCGCAGACTTAGAAGATCAGGACGAGAGTAATGTCCAACAGTGTCGAGGTTCTGCTTCGCCTTGATCCGATCTCTCAGATCAATATCCGCATACACGATCGCTTCCACTCCAGGATCCAATGGTTCTGTCAACGGAACTCCATCAGGGCCAAATATCACCGTAAAACCTCCCCCGGGAAGCTTCATCCAGTCAAAGTCCGGCAACTTGGACCTGACCTTCCCCTCCTGCGTCTGGATTTGAGTACAAACAAGAACAAAACAAGCACCCTCCATGGCCATAACTTGACTGAAACGGCTGCTTGCTTCATCTGAAGTATGATAGGTCCAAGATGGAATGTTCCACAAGCAAGGCCAGCTTGCAACATGGATGTCAACGTTTTGAGCATACTCGTAGTACCGTAGAAGCGGTTGGGTATGCTCCCAACAATTAAGTCCTCCAATGTTCCCAAAAGCACTGGGGGCTACCGTTTTAAGGGAGTCTGCTTGTCCGTCTCCCCAATAGCTCCTCTCGACATGAGTCGGCTTGATCTTGCGTCGGTGGTGGACGATGGTACCAGTAGGGTCGATAAATGACTAGAGGGTCTGTTATTAGAGGACACGAGCATAAATAACGACTTGTGATAAGTATACCTGGGCAATGTACAATGATCCTCGGTACCGTTCACTATAGCCCAGAACGATAAACACACCCGCTTCGCGGACAGCCACCTTGATGCGCTCCATCTCCTCCGATTCCCTTTCCATGGAGTTTTCGAAGTATTCGTTCATGAAGGACACATTCTCAATGGCCGAGTTGGCCCAGATGCTCCTTGTCAGTAGTTAATCAATAGGGCGTACGTCTGTAACAGCTTATTTTGTCGCTTACCATGGATAACCAGGGATGAATACCTCCGGAAAACCGACCACATTGGCGCCATTTTTGGTGGCGTCCTTGATCAGTGAGATGACCTTGGAAACCCCGCCCTGTAAGTCATTCCAGACAGGTTCAGCTTGAATCGCAGCAACCTTGACCTTGGAAGTCATTATGGACTTGGGAAAGTAGCTTTCTGTTTAACAAAGATAAGCCTTGAAGTGAGAATGACAGAGAAGTGAAAACAAGCTTAGAGTCAGGAGACATAATCGGTTGATAATTTTAAATATGCAAGTTCAAATCCCACTTCAGGGTTACATCTTGATGGGATAACATGCCAGTTAATGCCGGGATCCCTGCACGCAGTATGCAAGCCACCCTCCCCTCCCCCGCCACGAATCAGCGCATTTGGGATGGTCGAGATTCTTCATCATTCCAGTGTCAGGAAACAAATGGTTGCCAATCAGATGAGTACCTTAAATTCTGCTTAACCCCATCATCCATCCAGTCTTCTCTACTTGTAACTCATCGATCACCCTCACGTCATGTCTGAAGAAGTTTGAACTTAACGGCAGCTAAGGCAATGCATGACTGCCTTTGACTCTGTAGTTCTGTTGCAGTGTCAGTATTGGTCTATAGACAAATTCTACTTGATTGCTTACCTTGGATACTCCTGCCTTTAATTTGATCTTTAGAGTTTATACACATAATTGCATACTATAACGTCCTGTTTCGTGTCAATCAACGGTCAACTGGTACCAAGGGCTTGTAGTAGTCATGTGAGCATGGGCTAAGAAACCGCCTCATTCATTCTCGAAACTCCATTTGCAGCATTCAGTATCCACATCAAATCAAGAAGACCGTGCATTCTAGTGATGGACTCAAATGAAATAGCATCGAAATCTCCTCATCGTGCAATGTACAAATCAACACTAATTCGGTCACAGCCCCGAAGGAAGCGGGGCGTTTAAGCGATGGGCTCTGGGCGCCAATCCCAGCCGGGAATTATCGTCTTGGTTATCCTTGGCGAGTCAAGCGCAGTGATGAGGATACGGGATATCACCCGGCTTGGCGCCTCATTTAACAGAAAGGATATGTTGCCAATGCTTGGGGGTGAATTCATGCGATCGAAACGATATCGAATATGTCAACCTAAAGCTACGTCAAACTAGCGGTTGTTATATTACCCCTTTAACCCCATCCCTCCCCTTAAGAGCCTCTCGAGGCTCGGGATGAATTGTCGAGTGATTGGTCTTTGTTGTCTCCTTTCAGGCGACAATGGCGAACCTGAAGCTCTTTTTTAGACAAATTTGGACGCTTACTCTGAAGAATCTCCTGCTCGTTCTTGTGCGTCCGGTATTTACAACCGTTCTCAGGGCTCTCGTTTTGCCAGTAATTTTTACCGCGTTCATGTGAGTACCCCACCTGCATGAAAAGGCAATAAAAATAGTAGGTCTAATAGGGATTTAGATCGTATGCTCGGAACCTGTTTATTGAACCAGCTACCTATGGAATTGGTGATCCCACCCCCTTACAGCCTTTATCAGAAACTCTGCATGTTATAACTGGTGGACGAGATAAGCTGGTGTTCGTTCATAATGGTCTCGTTGGCGGGCCTATCGAGAAAGTGATAAGCTCAGTCACAGATTCTATACAGCCCAACCAGGATCAAGTACAGCCGCATTTGTTGTCATCTGAAAGTGAGCTGCAGGAATTATGTCGAACATCCCTCAGCGGTGTATCCACTTGTATAGCAGCTGCGGTGTTTTATTCCTCTCCAACAGAAGGCCCACATGGGATATGGAATTACTCGATCAGGACGGATGCGGCCCTGGGAGCGGGCATCCATGTTGATAGTCATGAAAATGACCAGGAAATCTATCTTCTTCCCTTTCAACACTCCATCGACCGAGCCATAGCTCAGGCTAATGCATCTACTGATCAGAACACTCTGCCTGACGAGGTAATTTCCTTCCACTTGTGGACCGCCCACACCGACCACCTTGGGCTTGACTGACAATCCTATAGATCATGGAGTATCCATTTACGTCGTTGACTCAGGAGGGGCGTCGAAACGAAATCCGGGTCAATTATATGGGTGCAATTATCAACATCATGGCCATTGCCATTTTTATCGGCATCGTGGGAGTTACCTACCAGCTAACTGGCTTAGTTGCGATGGAACGTGAACTGGGAATGAGTCAGCTGATAGACTGTATGATGCCAAATGGGTCCAGATGGCAATCACAAGCAGCCCGGTTTATTGCAGCCCACTTGGCACTGGACGTTGTATATGGCATAGGGTGGATTATCATGGGCGCCATCTTGAAATACGGAATCTATAGCAGAACATCCGCGGGAATTACGATAGTTTACAACATCCTGGCGGGGCTCGCTTTATCCTCCTTTTCGATCTTTGGGGCATCCTTCTTCAAGAGAGCACAGCTCAGTGGTATTTCCGTCGTTATAGCTTGCTTGCTCCTCGGCGTCATAGCCCAGATGGCCCCAGCAAGGACCAATGGTGCTGTTGCCATACTTGGCCTTCTATTCCCGCCAATGAACTATGTCTACTTTCACATATTCATGGCTCGATGGGAAAGGCAAGACTTGCCTACTGATTTGGTGCATGCAGCCCCTGAAAACCCTTGGTCACTTCCCGGAGTCGTCCTGTGGATACTTCTTATCATCCAAATACTCGTGTATCCGTTGCTTGCAGCTATGGTGGAGCGCATACTTTACAGTACGGCATCAAAGGGCCGAAAGGCCACAAGCTCTAATGCCTCGACGACTGCACTCAGATTACAAGGTTTCACGAAATCCTACCAACCTGGATGGTTCTACAAAAATATAGCTACACGGTTTGGCAGTACCCGTCAGTCTGTCTTGGCAGTGGATAACTTGAGCATGGATGTCAAAAAGGGACAAATCATGGTCCTTCTCGGCGCTAACGGATCAGGCAAATCTACTACCTTAGATTCTATCGCTGGTCTAACAAAAATCTCCTCTGGGGAAATTAACATAGACTATGGAACAGAAGGTGGCAGGTTTGGCCTTTGTCCACAGAAAAACGTACTCTGGGATACCCTAACTGTTAAAGAACATGTCAAGATCTTCAACAGGCTCAAGGCCACTGAAAACGTTGATACTGAGAACCAACTGCTAGGGCTTTTACATGATTGTGATCTTGATAAAAAAGTCAGTTCCTATACGAGAACCCTTTCCGGTGGACAGAAACGAAAGGTCCAATTAGCAATGATGTTTACCGGTGCTTCCTCCGTCTGCTGCGTAGACGAGGTTTCATCTGGTCTTGACCCAATCTCGCGAAGAAAAATCTGGGATATTCTTTTAGCTGAGAGAGGCTCCCGCACTATATTGTTGACCACTCACTTTTTAGATGAAGCGGACCTTCTAGCCGATCACATTGCCATTCTCTCCAAGGGCGTGCTCAAGGCACAAGGGTCGAGCGTGGAATTGAAGCATCGGCTAGGCTCGGGATATCGTATCCATGTTTTGAACATGCCAGGGGCAGCATTGAGCCATGCATTCAATGATATTCCCCAGGAAACACACTTTGAAGAGACTGTCTACACCGTTCAGACTTCTGCAGAAGCTGCATCTTTCATTTCAAGGCTTGAACAAGAGGGGATCACAGAATACCGCGTAAGCGGGCCTACAATTGAAGACGTTTTTTTAAAGGTGGCTGGAGAGCTGGACTCCCAGAAGGTTCAGGACACTGTTGTGGAAAATGCCCAAGCCGAAATACAGCCCCCTGTAAAGCAAGGCAAGGAAGACGTACACCAAGGGTTGCAACTCCTCACTGGTCAACGCATCAGTATGGCCCTCCAGGCGTGGTATCTCTTCCGTAAAAGAGCCACCATCTTACGTCGCAATCCTCTTCCATACATCGCAGCCTTGCTTATCCCAGTCATTGCAGCTGGCCTGGTTACGCTCTTCCTAAAAGATGTTACATTAGCAGGCTGTAGTGCAGGAAGCACAACCAGGATACCAAAGCCTCAGTCCCTACAATCGCTAGACGACTTTCAGATCGTACTCGGCCCTTCTAGCAAGGTCTCAAATGCCACTTTGGAGAGCTTTGTTAGCTCATTATCTAGTTCTGGAGAAGCTATAACACGGACTCCTGAATCTTACTTCCATGTGGTGGACAGTCTTTCTGAATTTGAAGACTATATCAACCATAACTTCCAAAATGTCACCCCGGGTGGATTTTACCTTGGAGATGCATCGTCCAGTCCCACCCTCGCCTGGAAAGGCGACAATGGTGATTTCCCTCTTGCTGCTGTCATACAAAACATGTTCCACCGTCTACTTACCGACATGCCTATCAACCTCCAATTTCAGTACTTTGGCATTCCTTTGCAGCCCAACGCCGGTAATATTCTCCAGCTTATCGTCTACTTTGGTCTAGCCATGTCGGTCTACCCGGCTCTATTCGCCCTGTATCCGACTGTGGAGCGGCTGAGGAATGTCAGAGCACTTCACTTCAGCAACGGTGTCAGGGGCGCGTCCCTTTGGCTTGCATACGTCGGATTTGACTTCAGTATTGTCCTTATCTCCAGCGTTCTCGCCATCATCATCTTCAGGGCGGTATCTGATGTCTGGTATAATCCAGGATACCTTTTTGTTGTCTTCTTCTTATATGGGCTTTGCTCCACTTTGCTATCGTACTTAGTCTCCCTGTTCTCAAGATCCCAACTTGCAGCCTTTGCAGTCGCGGCTGGCAGTCAGTGCGTCCTATTCCTCATATATCTCATCGCCTATATGTGTATTCAGACCTACACGCCCACAGACAAAACAGAATCTTATATCGATATCGCTCATTTCACGATCGGTCTAATTTCACCTTCCGGGAACCTCCTCCGTGCCCTATTCGTGTCTCTGAATGTATTCTCCATATTATGCCGGGGAACCGAAGTTGCCTCCTACCCAGGAGAAATCACTCTCTATGGTGGACCCATTCTTTACCTCATTGTCCAGTCTTTCGTTCTCTTCGGGTTACTCTTATGGTTCGACGGAGGCTCAGTACTTTCCCTCCTGCGTGCCAAATTCAAGCCCAACGACGAGGAAGAAAAATCCACATTAGACAAAGACGTTAATTCTGAAAAGACACAGTCCCCAAGTTCAAGCCCAGACAACGGCCTCCGCATCCATCATCTCACAAAAACATTCCACAAATTTACCGCGGTAGAGGACATCACCTTCAGCGTCAGCAAAGGCGAAGTATTCGCCCTTCTAGGCCCCAACGGCGCCGGCAAAACAACAACCATCTCCCTCATCCGAGGCGACACTCCACCTTCCCGAAACGGAGGCGACATATTCGTCGACAACATCTCTGTCCTACGACACCGTGCCTCCGCCCGATCCCACCTCGGCGTCTGTCCCCAGTTCGACGCAATGGACCAAATGACCGTCCTGGAACACCTCACCTTCTATGCCCGCATCCGCGGCGTCCCCGATGTCCCCCACAACGTCAATGAAGTCATGCGAGCCGTCGGTCTAACATACTTCAAACACCGCATGGCGACTACTCTCTCCGGCGGGAACAAACGCAAGCTGTCACTCGGCATCGCCTTGATGGGTAACCCTACTGTTTTACTTCTCGATGAGCCGTCATCTGGTATGGACGCTGCGTCTAAGCGAGTCATGTGGAAGACTCTCGCTGCTGTTGCTTCTGGACGTTCGATCGTCCTCACCACTCATTCTATGGAGGAGGCGGATGCCCTCGCTCATCGGGCGGGTATCATGGCGAAACGCATGCTAGCTCTTGGTACCACGAATTCCCTTAGAGCAAACTACGGGAATAGATACCATGTTCATTTGGTACATAGCCTGGCTCCCCATACGAGCGAAGAGGATATGCAACGGATCCGTACCTGGGTTAGTCAGAATTTCCTCCGTGCTGTTATTGAAGAGAAGACGTATCATGGTCAACTGCGCTTTACGGTTCCTGCTACTGGGTCGGACTCGACAGAGTACGATTGTTATGACGATGATATCACGCCGCGGTCCGAGCCGGATCTGGACATGATCAAGGGAAAAAACGGGAATAATAGTATCGTCAAGCTCTTTTCGCATCTTGAGGAGAGTAAGGAGGAACTCGGGATACAGTTTTATTCTGTTAGTCAGACGACGCTGGATCAGGTGTTTTTGACTATTGTTGGGCAGCATGATATTGCGGAGGAGAATTCTGGGCAAAATTCGTCGTCGAAGGAATAGATTTGGGTCTTTTCTTCTTTCTTTCTTTCTTTCTTTCTTTCTTTCTTTCCTTCATTTTTTCATTCTCCATTTTTTTTTGTTGGATTTTGGTTGGTTTATATTCCCTGTTTATATACGGATGCATATATTTATTTATTCTTTTTCGGGGTTATGGGATATTATTCGATTTCAAACTGGTGGATATATGTTCATTATGACTTATCCTTACATCATTATATCCGCTATCATATCATTGATATCATGGCCCATTCATTCATAGAATATAATAATCATGTTAATAAATATACCGGAAGCTGTAAAAAGGAAGCGTTAGCATGAATACTACTACATACGACTAGCGAGATAAACCAGAGGGAAAAAAACATACTTCAAATTCTCCCTATCGGTCAGATCCAAGAAAGCCGTGGCATCCAAATCTCTACCTTCCAATCCGCCTTCCATCTGAGACTGTATCTTATCCCTCTTTTGATTCTCCCAGCGAAGCAGAAGACCCAAGATAGAAATAATAACAGCTTCAATCAGATGCGAAACGATCATAGACCAGATGCCGAGCTCGTAGGTAGGTCTGTAGAACTTGTTTAGCATTGAGTATAGTAGCGGTCTTGCGGCAACTTCACTCACTTCTGGCTCTCTTTGTAGAAAAATGGACCGGCGATGTTCCCGGTACAATAGCCCAGGAAGAGGACTGCGTTTGTAACTACTTTCTTTGTGTGGCCTTGAATGATTTTGATTAGTTGGGTGCATCGGTGTGGAATTTCTGGGATGCCATACCAGCTGTATTTGCGACCTGCATACTCAGGACCAGGACAAAGGCGGCGTTGTATGGGCCTGTTAAGTAATAGCAGATTAATCGGCCGACTTTTTGGTCTGGTGGGACGAAGCGCAAGCCGAATGCCCCTGCTATATTCGGTATGAGGAAGATTAGGATGAAGACGCAGCGTCTGTTCTCGAAGCGGTCGTTCAGATATACACAGGCTAGAATGGAGAGTGCGATCAGGGCCCCGTAGGGTATCTGGATGGTGAGTTTTGAGGTTTTGTTATAGTTTGGTGTCGTCAATATAGCTGCTTACCTGCATCAGGGTAGTTACTAGCGTAGAGAATCCGAAGCCTTTGATGATTATGGTCCCAAAATTAGAGATACCGCCGTTTGGAATGTTACCTGGATAATTCGTCATATAAGCTATGGTATTTCGGTATTCAAGGGAGAGGGTTTCATACAAACTACACCGAGGATGAAGAAGAAATAAATCTTGTAGTCTAGGAATGCTTCAAGAATCTGGTAGGGTTTGAGATGCTTGTTTTCGACACCAGTCTGGTTATCTCGTAATCTCTCTACCGCGATTCGACGCTCCCTTTGGCTGAGGCCCGGTGCTGAGACCGGTGAATCAGGGAGGAAGATGAACATGACGATTCCCCAGGTTGAGCAAAGTGCGCCACTAGACGGTAGTTTCATCTTAGAAGAATTCAGTAGCAGTGAAACGGAGGGTTTGCCTACATTACAATAAATTCGTACTTCCACGATGGAAGTGCACCTCTGATATGACCGATGCCGTAACCTAATAGACCGCCGAGGGCAATTCCAAGCCCGTTGGCCGTATACCATAAACCAATACGGACAGGCTGTTCGCGTCGCGTGTACCACATACTAGTAATGAGCATAAACGCAGGATCTGCGCAAGCCTCTGCAGCTCCCCCCAGGGCTCGAAGCACTGCAAGAGTAGCGAAATTGTGACATGCGGCTTGGATCATCAAAAAAACACCCCTTTGAGCTATTAGATGGCCGTGTTGCTATCTGGTGGTAAAGAATCAGACACGTACCACATGAAGATGTTCGCTCCAAGGTATTTTCCTAAGGCAGGTTAATTAGATCAGATTTTATATGCCTTTGTTAATCAATCTCATACCAATGGGCAGTCTTTGCATTAGGAAGTTTGTCGGAAACGCCCAGGCGAGGAATCCAAAGTAGAAGATACTACTGAGCCAACTATACTGTGTACCGTGAAGGTTAAGATCTTCATTGATCCCAAAGATTGCCGCATAACTTAACGTGGTCTGCGAATGCATACAGTTGCGCGTTAGCCCGCCCAATGCAATAAGCAGCTGGTACACACAGGGACCAGAATCTTTAACTACCTTATCAATATAGAAGAAGGCGTAGCAAACAGCTAGATAGGGCAATATCATAAAGTCAATCTTCCAGAGCAACTTTCTTGCCTCAACTGGATCCACAGGTTCCTGAAGTTCCTCGTCGTTAAAGAGTGCCATGGCCGTGTCGCCATCTTTCGGTTTTAGTGCTTTCAAGCCCGCCTCGACATGTGTGTTCTCGCTGTGGATAAATGTAGGTGCTTCTGCCATGTCGATCTTGGAGCCTTCTCCAGGCTCCAGGTTAGGGTTGCCGCCCATGTTGCTGGAAGCTTTGTTCTTCTTCACGCGTGAGCCAGCCAAAGCTGTCAACGTCCAGTTCGACGCAAATACAGACACGAGGGAAACGCTGCGTCAGGAAGGTGAGGGGTCATCGTTGTCTTTATGGAAGGCCCAAACCTGACTAAACAAGATTCCAGGCTAGCTAGCATGATCACTGACGACGAAGCTTAATCCACCATCGAATCCAATTGCATCCGCAACGAAACGAAGAATTCCAGTTTCGTCGTTATGGACTGGCTGGGGTAGGTTCTCTATCCCCACGCAGACCCACCGCGGCAGATGGGGAGCTCCGTCTGGGGTTTGACAATCTGCGGGGAACTGACCCGTTGATCACTCGAGTTTTGGAGGTAAATCCGAGGTAGCATTGGAAACGTGGGGGCAGCACATATTCAAGACCGCTCGGAACAAGGCCGTGCGATCGTATACTAGACAAAGCTGTTCTGTTACGACACGATTGGGTAATGCAAAAAGAGATCGGACGAAGACCGAAAATAAAAGATAGGAATAATAGGTGGAAAATCCACGACCGCAGTGCCGATCCTGCCTGATAAAGAAGTTGGAGAAGAATTTGGAAAGGTTGGGGTAAAAAGGTATGAAGTTCAACATTTGTGGATAGCGACAGAGCGGATGCACCATATCACCTTGAAAAGGAACTGACGAAGAATGTTCTAATATGAAAACCAACCATATATTCCCAGTATCTTAGCCTTGACTACATTAGTTGACATTCTATCTGTCAAGGGAAATACGTACAGCATTTGGTTGACTACCAGCCCAATACGAACCTGAGCTGTATAGATACCACATTAAACATCTTGCAGATCGAGTAGACTCTGTGTCATTCTATTGTGAAGTATCAGTTCACTGGCAAGCCTCGATCGTTTGCTGACGGTAAATCACAAAGATTATGTGATATATCCTCTGGGATAAGGAGGATAACCTCGATTCACGCATCCATGTCGCTTTGCGATATCTCATCTTGTCGGATTCTCTTTTAGTCTATCTTTTTAGTTATTCCGTCCTTCTATATGTGCGCCTTGCAGTATGTAACTGCTTGAAAATCCAAGCATTTGATCTGCAAAGCTTCCGGCGTTGTTGCACAGAGTATCTGTCTATCTTCACCCATTAGATTGTGGAGTGTCACTAGTACTGCATAATAGCATGGCTGCTCCATCGTATAATCACATGACTTAATCCGATTCAGTTGGCAGAGCTCCTGGTACCAAGTCATTTATCTTTGGTGTTGTTGCAACTGATTCACGTTGGTTTAGATGGTCAGAGGATCGGTCCCAGTTCCAGACGAACAAAAGCCGCTGAAGACAGTCGTACCTAAGTTCCCGTCCCATTTCGTCGAGATGGTCTGGAATCTCTGATGTTAAGGATTCATCTATTCGAAAGGTTTCGCCATTTGCGATATGTAAAGGAGTTACTCCTATTATGATGATATCAAAATAATCGCTGAATGGTCTGACAATGCTTGGCTTGGACGCTCCTTGTAAGAGGCAGACAACATCCCCCGACTTGACAGGTTGTGCTGAGACCCGCATAGTCCATTTAACGGTGCTTCGTTCGGCACTGTGATTGCAGCGACTTCTTGAATCCTTGCTGTACTGAAGCAATTGCATCGAGTTGTCCATGTCAATGTGCACATGCTGTCTGTCAAATCGAGATTTGTCTCCGTACGCTGCAGATACTCTCCCTAGGCTATAACCCATGCCCTTGATCAACGCTAACTCCTTATCAGGCCAAGTTTCGGTCGACACCCTTTGCGACAGAACATGCCTAATGATTCGCTGGAAGAGGACTTCCCAAGGGATCTCATAGTGAGGCAACAAACCCACTGCTTCTAGGTTCTCGCAGCACATACCAAGAAGGGCAAACACTTTATCATGGCGTATGGTGGCCTTATGGGAATGATACATATCAAGCAACTCGCCCAAATGGCGTCCCCTCTTGTACATTACCCCGTAACCCGGACGGAATATTGCTCTTCCTAAGAGATAAGTGACTGGGCGTACGGAATTGATCAAACTCTGCAGCCTTGGGCATCTGTTATTCAAGGCCTCTATACCGCGCAAACCTGAGGAAAATGCGTAGCCATTCATCTCCATAGGGCCACATTTGACCAGAACCGACCGAGCAACTCCAACCTCTTGAAGAACCTATAATTTTGTTAATCAGGTTCCTCCGTATATGTACCTTGCTCAGTGTTATTATCCCTTACCCAGACCCGTCGGAACCAAGGGCGTTCTAAGAGCGCTATAAGTGCTGAATCATTGAATTCTACCACCAGACTCTCGCCTTCGGCGGCGACTTGTAATCTCGCAAGTGTCAGAGTACTATCATTGTCTTCTTCCCCAAGCCAAACGATAACACTCTTAGCTTGTCCATAGATATTTGCCATCAATTGAATCTGCTGTTCTTTCTCTGCGTTGCCTTTTTGGTCAATGCATATAGCATCGACCCACAGCAGCCTCGGGAACCGTTGAAATCGAAGGTGCGACAGCGCTGCATGCAAGTTCGGCGTGACTTCCAGGCTGCAGTTGTTGACATATATCGAAGAGGGGTTTTCTGTGGAACCCCAGACATACGACAGGGCTTCGTAGGCCTGCGCTTGTTTCTTGAGAGGGTGCTCAATGAGCTCGCATTTAATTGGAGCAGTCCGGTCTTGATTTGGTAATAGGCGAAGCATGCGAATGGTGTTACGCCCTGGCGGAAGTGGAGTATAATTATAGGGAGGCATATTGTCAAATACTTTTCCCTAGAGAACATCAGAAGTTATACCCCAAAAGGACGTTTGTGGGGTAGCAGAATTCAATTGGCGTCTCTAGTAAGGCTGATGTTAACGAGAGATCAACAAACCCCGCAAAAATGGATAAATCCCGTGCATCAGCACAATATCGAGCAATGCCGATGGTTTTGTTGTAATTTCTAGTTTCTTCCAAAAAAAAAAGATACCCTATATTGATCTCTATCCAAGGTTACAAAAAAGAATAATTCAGAAAACGTCAATGGCCATATACAAGTAGTAATAATACAGTCGCCAAATGCAAAACCCCGAATGAGCAGCGGCCCTTTAACGACGCCGTTTCTGTCCACGACCGCGTCCTCCCTGTCCTCTCTGGCCGGAAAGAGCAGACTTCTGTCGGAGGTAGTTCGAGACGATGTTCTCGACGCTGCGCATATCGTGTCTGGGTTGTCTGTGGGGGTGAAACAGGATATGTTAGCCAAGTTGAGCACAGATATAACTCACAAAACCTCCCCAACAACAAGCCATATACGCACCTCATGTAGTACAATCTGGCTCTTCTCTTCCTCTTCTCCGTCCTCTGTACAATTTCCACGCTCTCAACGTTGGGACTGAAAACCTTCACCCACATCTCAACACCGACCCTGGTAAGCTCATTACGAAGCAAGAATGTGGTGTCAACGCCGCGCAGACGAATGCTAAGACAAACGCCGGAGAATGGGTCCCCGTTCTTAAAGGTCACGCGCAGGATATCGCCGACCTTCACACTGCGTGGGTTTCTTCTATAGTCGAAAAGTGCTTTGCGTTCACCAGTTGGATCAAGGGCTGCCAATTGAGATTCGGTCACTGCTGCCACGGGATCTTTGCAAACCGTGCGGCTGGAAGGCGGAGCAGGGTAGACTTTGAGCTTCTTGCGGCCTGTTTAGGGGTGCATTAGCCATCTGATAGTAGCCTCGGGGTTGGAGCAGAAGGCGCAAGGCATACCATTTGTAGGCTGCTGGCGAGGAGGTATTTGAGAAAGGAACGACTTGGGCAATTTGCTCGGAAGAGGGACGGGCTCTTGTTTCGGAGTGTACGCAGTCGTGATGGATCGACGACCGATTTGGGACGACACCAATGACTGGGGCTTCGCGATAGACCTTAAGCAGCCCAGCTGCCGCAGGATTGGTGAGAAGGTCGCCATGGCTGCAAGGATTGTGGTGCGCTGAGCAGCTGGCAAAGAGAAAGATGCGAGAAACAGGCGGACCTCCGAGCGTGAAGTTTGCGGACCGGCAGAATTTCCGCCAAGACTCAGATTACCTGTTTGGGTCAACGTCCAGAACTCAACTCGGGGAACTTTTCTGCCACCGCGGTCCAGCTTGCGCTTCACGTTTGTGTTGATCTAATCGTCAATTCTGTACAAGCAGGGTTTGCTCTTCTCTAGAAGGTTTCTTTAGGAGACCGATTACATTCAAATAATCCCGCGCCCTCTGTACCTTCAATAAAATGGCGCAAAACGCCATTGGAAGGCTCTTCCGCGGCCAAAGTTCCAACACCCTCCGTCAATCTATTGGCACCCTCACACAGAAGCGTTGCTATTCCTCGAAAAATGGTGCGATTGCTCGCTGGTCTTCCTTTGTTGCCGCCAAACTAACTTCTAGAATGCAGCCATCCCGACCTTTTCTCCGACTTCCTCCGCCGAGCTGGACCAGGCCCTCAATCGTTTCCGCGAAGAACTCTTCATACCGTTCGGACTAGGAACGCAGCAAAGGAGGTTAATGTTTCGTCAGAAGTACGCCGACCGTCTAGAGGAAGAGCCGGTCAGCGTATCCGTTGGCGAAGATGAAGAGCCATTCCTGCTTCGCCCCATGGACCCGCAATCAAGGCCAACGAAGAAGGAAATCGTGGACGTTATTACACTTATGCAGACGACAAAGGACTGGCAGAACTTGGTCCCTTTCCTGTCCGGATTGCGGATGTCACATCGTGTCATTAAGTCAGACCGCTGGGAGTGGTTGGTGCGCCGGGCTGGCCAGGCTGATGCTCTTGGTATTATTCTCGAAGCCGCGAAGCAGAGCGAGCGGACTGGTCTCCGTCTCAACAATGTGGATATTGTACAGCGCATCTTCTTCGAACTTCACCGCAAGGCCCAAAGAGGAGAGTTTAAGGATCCCGAAGTATCGAAGGCTTTCACACTGGCCAAGCAGTTTGTTTCCCTGATGGAAGCCCCCGAACACATCGAACATAACCTGGAGCTGGATCCTAAGAGGAAGCCATTTGTCATTGGTACCCTACTTGAGCTCAGCGCTGCTCGTGCCATTAACGAGCTTGGCGGCAACGATGAAGGCGGCCTGGTCCGTTCCTATGCTCAACGTCTCCTGGGCAGCTGGTCTCTTAGTAACTTCAATCGTGACGCTAAGAATTGGCACGAGGTTGACCACATGCTGCAAGAGATCGTGCCCATCTACAATGGTATGAAGCTTGCCCTCAAGGTCAACGGCATTTCAAATGATAAGGCTGTCGCTCCGGGCTTGAAGACACGCGTGAATGAGCTGGGAACTTTGATTGCGAACCAGAAGAAGGCTGCACCGGAGAAAGCTGTGCAACGGCCAACGTTGGGCCTTGAGCAGAGTCAGCTTTTGCATCAGGGTTAAACCCATGTTTCTTTCTACACATTGTCTATGAATTGTATATTACCACTTAGAATCATTTGGAGCTGTATGTTATTTCAATTTGAAATTGAGCTATTTTCTCCTTGGACAAAATATACCGCTGCGCCTAACACGTGTGGGGCACTTCAGTATCAACATGGATAGAGGCAATTTAATTCTCCATTCAAAAGGTGCAAAGAAATCAGCCGGTAACATAAGTCATGTAGCGGCGAGGTCAACGCTAAAAACGATCAGATGTTGTTGTGCAAATAGACGATTTAGCACAACTCTATTGTGTTGTCGTCACGGAAGCGGCCCTGCGCCGCCAGCGTAGTTTTCTCAGAAACAACGGCTGGGCCAGAAACAGTAATCTGTTGGGCAATCGTTAGCTAGGTGAAAAGACGTAGTGTAAGTCCATTATGTCAGCATCGCATACCTGTCCCTCATTTTCCTTGTCTTCAGAAACACCGGTGAGAACAATTTCAACGCTACTTAAAGGAGCTCCGAAGTGATTCTGGCCCTGATAACGCCTATAGTCGAATACATTCGTCTGAGAGACAGCGCCGGCCACGCCTGGACCAGTCAAGGCGTAGACCACACGAGCCCCAGTAAAGATCTTCAAGTCCGTCAACTCTCCAGAGGTAAGGCGAACATTGGGATCGGCGTCCGCACGGTGCGAGATGCATAAGAGGCGAAGTTTGTCGAGTGAGAGTTCAGCCATCGGGCCAATATTGGCAACCTGACTGAACATGCCATGAGAAGGCATAACTCCAGCATCTAGTTTTCTCACATCAAACCAACGAGCCAGGGAAGAGATAACACCAGAATGTGGCTCCATGAATCTGCTATGGTAATCGGACATTGTGCGAGATGAGGCGATAACTACAGTTGGAGATACTCCAACGGTAGCCAAAGCGAAGTCGACACCTTCCCCAGCGACAGAGTTCACTGCAACGGAGGCATTCGAGTACAGAGCAGCCATGACCTGGCATAATGGATAGGAGCGAGAGAGAGAATCAGTCGAAAGCACAAGATCAGTAGGGTTAAAGCGCTCATTACGAGGTAGGGAATAAGTCAGGCCAGCGATGGCGGAGATCAAGTTCTGTGATACTGTCAGCCTTGTACCAGTACAGGAAGGGAAATCCTACCTCTGGCTGATATTCGATGAACTCGCCTGCTCCTGTGGCGGACGGCCAAACCGTAGTAAGGGAAGGTGAGGGGCTGTTGGGCTCCCAGCTGGGAACATCAAGCCCAGCCAAGTCCTTCTTCTCTTCTACTATTTCATGCCAGACAGCAACCTCTAGAGTACCTTTGACATCACCAGGCACATCATTCCAGTCCATATGCCTACTACCAAGCTTCGCAACCCAGATAACTTTAGTGAGTTGCTCGTTGCTCTTCGCTACAAGAGACAAATCGAGCGCGCCTGCCTCCGCAATCAATGCATCTGCCTGAGATTTCTGCAGGAGGGTAGATAGATCATTAGGGTCAAGGTTGTGAGGAATAAGGATGACCTTAAACCCATAAAAAGCACCGGCTGTGTCAGAGCTTCTGTCAGTAAGCAGTCATAGGGCGCACACAGGTCGAGGAGCGCTAACCGAATATTGAGGCCAAAAGCTCCACCGAGTCTGTAAGACAGACGGCAACCGTTTTAGCCTTGGAGGATTGCAGGCGAGTTCCAATGACATTGATCTCTTGCGTTACTTGTTCCAACGAATGCTCTATCGCCCTTCTTCCGAGCACAGTATAGAGCTTTCCCTGTTTACCGGATAACTTCCCTTCCTTTGCAGCTCCACGAACGGCAGTTTTCCAGACATCGCGCAAGTCACCTCTTCGTCCAGCGGTCCATTTCGGTGCTCCGGGGTCTTTGACGTTCAGTCCGGACCGAAGGGGAAACCCGTGTGGGGTCTCAAGGCTGCGGTAGGCGGCAGTTTCACCAGGCTGGCGGACAGGGAAGGCTGTTGACTGGCGAGCCAGTAAGAATGGGTGAATGTCTGGCTCCTTAGACGTAGCAAAAGAATAGATTAGAAAGACGACAATAGTCCCTGCGATGAGAGTGGTGTATATGTTCCAGTCAGCCAGGACGTCAGCGACCAACGTATCTAGCTTGGCCACTAGCGACGTTTCCGAAGCCATTTTGAGTTTACTTATATCGACAATGTGTCGTCATGTAGGATAAGAGATGTACTGAAGGGTGAAGGTCCCGATTGTTTCTTTATTTCCGTAGTAAGGGCCGGGTTCTAGGCTGGAGCGAGATGGTGACGTGACCTCAGCTCAGGGTAGATGTGGAGACCATTCGCGGGTCCGGCGTTTAATACTTCAAAGTTACCGAGCTACCTGAAAACTCCGCGTCAAATGCGCTTGTGGCTGTGGTTGCCAGTGAGCAGGACGCACCGATCATCAAAACAAGCACTGTCGTACCACAGCATTTGAAGAGCCAGTCGCGCTGCCCACCACGATATGGTTATGACTCTTTTTGAACTCATATAACTACTTAACGCCGAAGAATCATACACAAATGCTCAGGTGACTTTTTCCTAAGACAGCGTCGCACAGGTAAGGTAAGTTTTAACACCCCAAATTCAAGGTAAGTTCTCTGGATCTCTTTGTGCAATATTGAGGACATCATACTCACACCTGTGCAGGCTATCTCCTTTTTCTCTTTGTTTGTACTTTTACGTCTTCGTACACATCAATGGCTTCCCTATCCGCTCCATCTACCCCTAGGGCGGCATCTTCGCCTGCACCTACTTCAGACGAGTCTCGGACACCAGGAAAATGGCGCCACCCACAGTTGAATGAAATAGTGAGGCGACAGAATGCTGGCACATTTGGGGATAGTAATATCAAGAGAGTTCTGTGTAATGGTGCTGCTTTACTAGCAACCTGGATCTTTGGCAACACCTTCAAATCCTAGTAAGTAGTGACAGGGAGGTCGATTGTGACGCGCAGACTAACAATTTCGGCACAGTTCTCTTCGACTCGAAAAGTCCAGCCAGTACTCTACATATCCTGATCTTTCCCTACTTGTGTTACAACTTATCTTCATTCTCAATATCCTTGTGGCACTATACCCTCTCATTCGCCCAAAGGACAACCTCTCCGATATCCCTCTCACTCCTACGCAACGCGCCCTTTTAGGACTTGATCCATCTGCTACAGCACCGCCTACGCCGGGATCTACATACATCACTCCACCCAAATATCGGCTCTCTGGGTCGCGGGCAGCAAGCCCGGCCAGCAGAAGTGCTTCGCCTTTGTCGACCAGCGCCAGTGCTTCTGGCCGTAGGGTATCGTCGGGCGCATTGTTTTCACCTTCTCCTAGTCCATTAGTCCACAAGGCTGTTTCAAACGGAGGAAGAGAAAATGGACGGAGACCGAGTTTCGGCTCTCCATCGCCTCTCGGTCGAAACTCACCTTTTCGTGAATCAAGCTTTCGCGAATCAAGCTTCGGATCGAGTATGGGTCCTCCGACTCCGTCACCAGTTGGGGGAAAGCGTGTTAATCTGGGTCTGAGCAACAAGTGGCTGTATGAGCGGAGCAGGCGGTTGTCAGCGAGCAATGGTAGTCTATGAATTACTTTCGTTGGTGTTTGGTGCATTAGGGTGGAGACAATCATATATTCATATGTTCTGAAGGGCGTTCAGCAAGCACTGTGTCCATTTTTGAAAAGATCGATTTTTCAATGTTCATTTTAAGCATTATATTTTCATAGGAATTTTTCTTGGTAGACAGGAAATGTATAACTATGACGCATTGGAAATTCTCGGAAATATATCTTAGCTGAGGAAAATAAGCATGGACCGCACAATGCGCAACTAGGCAGCTTTTTCCCACGTTCCCCAGTTCTGATGTCGGAGTCTCCGCGGGTCTAGTACCAAGTTCTAGTTCCCGCTTTATGCATTGGCCCAAGAATGCCAACTACCTCCATTGACATTCATCCACACGCGGCAATCACCGATTGGAGTAATTTCCAAAGCACCGTTTTCGAAAAGCGTCATATTCAACACTGAATTTAGATCATCACGGTTCGTGACTGCATGAGGCCGACATTTCCGTGAAACACAGGCGGTGGCTTCATAATGGGAGCTTCGGAGTCAAAGCTAGTCTTCAAGCAGGGAATCTTCCGTCTTTCAGAGGAGAAGGACATACCTGCCGACGATCCGTACTGGGCCAGAGTTCGTTTCCCATCTCCTTTACCGATGTGGAGGTTTCTTGGTATCTCTGACATTTGTACGGTAGTTCTGGGAGCTCCCAGAGTCCACCGAAGATGTCTTCAGTTTATTCACCCCCGCCGACATACGACGGACTCGCGACAACGCGCTATCCAACTTCGAAACGCTATTACTCTCTGTAACATCTCGTCTCAGTATATTGAAAAACCATCCCTCGTTTCCGGACCCTGAGCTTGCTCCCGACCGTGACGCCCTTAACTGTATTCGCATTTTGACCCGTATCCTCCCATTCGTTTACGAAGCTGAGCACCTAGAGGACTGGGAAGAGAAGTTCTTTTGGGGCCGTCGGAAGAAGAAGACAAGAGAAGCACAAGTAGCAGCCGAGATACTCTTTGATGAAGCCCAAGCCGAAGAACCACGAGCGTCGCCAGGGCCCAATGATTATGAAGAGGTGAAGCCTTTGGCTGAGGAATTAATTGATACACTTGTGGATCTTCTCTTCTACACAGACTTCACCATCCCAAAGCTCCCGACGGCCAAAAGCAAAGTGTCCTACTCAATATGGCAGAGCGGTGTTGGTTGCAATACATCTATGGGCTCGAACAAAGAGCTGGAAAACAACCGCTGCGAAATCATTCGGCTTTTACTTACCTTAACTGGAAAGGCAATGTACATGCCTTCAGGTAGGTGATGTCAATTCTCACTAATGATGGCCCTAGCTGACCTTCTAGCAGGTTTATTGCCAGTCCAAGGTGTCAAAGCCATCACGTACATTGCAACATGTCCTGATAAGCAGGCCGTTCTAACGCTACTATGCTCGTTACTGAACACAGTATGTGTAGACCCCCATCTCGACGTCCGTGTATAGGACTTTGCTGACACCCCTAGGCCATCAAATATAATCCCGCTTCCTGGAGGGTGCCCTATGACCATGTTGTGTGGAAAGATCCTAAGCAAATATTAGTTATATATTGCTTGCAGTTTCTCTTGGTGCTTCTCTTATATCCAATTCCAGAAGATGGGCGCGGAGCTCCGCCAAAAAATTACTACCGCCATTACTTCGGAAGGCTACATAGGCCGCAGGACTTCCAATTCCTCGTTGATGGCATGACCAGAATCTTAAATCAGCCAGTAGGTCTTAACCACCTTCTTTGAGGGTTTCTTTCTGCTTACGTCACGGTTGCCAGATGCAGGCAACAAATTCCTACCTTCCTGGTAGTCAAAAGACTGTCAAGTGGGCACCCGAGATGATGATGCTCTTCTGGGAAGCTTTACAATGCAATAAGCGATTTAGATCATTCATCATCGACTCCAATCGCTCGCACGACTTCGTCATTCTTTGTCTCTTCTATGCTATTGTATACAAGTCTGACCCTTCACAGCAAGGCGTGGTCAGGATGTGTATTTTCATTACACAGACAATGAGCGTCGAACCCAATTTTGGGAAGAGTCTGAACAAGAAATTCGAAGCTCAAGAGACGCTTCCACAAAGCATCCGTATTCCTGGTTTCAGGGGGTCTTATGCTGATTACTTGATTATGGTTTGTCATTTGCTATTCTTCAAATTGACTGGTTCAACTGACGCAAGCAGTCCGTTCATACCCTGATCACCGGAAGCAAAGGCAAATTAACCGCTGTCTACCCCGCGTTGCTAGCGATCATCAATAACATAGCTGCATACGTCGAAAATCTGTCCCCAGCTGCATGCTCCAAACTTCTGCAGCTCTTCTCCTCAATGTCTGCCCCCAGCTTCCTACTGGCTAACGAGACGAATCATGTCCTTCTTTCCTCAGTACTTGAGTCCGTCAACGCGCTTCTCGAACATCAATTTACCAGTAAGTTGTACTTTTGCTACCACTCCAAACAAGTCGCTGAGTCTGGCAGAAAATTCATGCCTGGTATACGCCATTCTTAAACACAGGAGACGTTTTGAGGCAGTTCGAGAATTTACGCTCGAGAGCGGACAGCAGGAAATAGAACGCCAAAATGAAAGACGGAAGTCTGAAGGCGGGTCTTACGATTTTGTTTCCAGCCCGGTCCTATCGGCGTCTGAAGATGATCCTCACACAGCTTCTGGTGCGCGGTCACCGTTGGGGCGTATTCCCGAAGAACACAGTCCGTTCGCAATTGGTGGGGACGATTCAGATGACGAGCAAGAAGAGCAGAAGACGCCAGCACAATCATCTCCATCTGTTCAGAGCTCTCGTAGACCTTCAATTTCATCTGCTGTCGATGAAAGCGTACCACTACAGCTACGGGGAATGTCCGAAAAGGCACGGGGCAAGATGCCTGCTGGACAGCCATCCTTTTCTAGGCAAAATAGTATGACCAGCCAGAGTAGTATGTCGGCGGCCTTCCCAACGACTCCCAGTGGTTTCACGCCAACTGTAGCTTGGGTAAGCAATCTTCCGTTTCCCGGGTATCGCTCAGCCTACTAACGGCAGAATTTTCAGCTTGAGTCCTGGCTCCCGGACCTACCACTCCATACTATTCTTACTATCATTTCAGCCATTATGCCCCACATCCCTGAGTCCGCTTTACAAAGTACTTCTAGCCCGGAAGCTCGGACTCTAATCACAAATATCCCTTCATTCGCGGAAGAACCAATGATCCAAAGTATCATCTCAGAGCCCCCTCCCACCCGTGTACATTCCTTCGAATGGTCAGCTCTTTCCATGGGCTGGTATGAATCCTTACTGTGGGGATTCATCTTCTCGAGTGAGATGGTCGTTGGCTCCGCTTCGGGCGCCACGCCGGGTACCGTTGGAGTGTGGAATGGAACCGGCATCAAACTATTCAAGGTCCAAGAGGCTGCAGCACAGGGACCCACGTTGCTCGCTCCAAAGGGCGCTGTAGACGCTGTTGGTAGTAATTTGGTTCAACGGATCGGGAACCTGAGTCTCCGGAGGGCCAGCACGCAGGATTCTCAGAACAGTTCCAGGGCTCCATCTGTTCGGGAAGTCTGATCTGCTGTTACTTAAAGCTATTGTCTTTTTTCTAACAGGTTGAATCTGTGTCGTCACGTTTCTATAAAGAGCTGAGCTTGTTTTCCAATGATCTTATTTATGTTCATCTTTAATGATACCTTGGTGGCGTTTGCAATCAAATATGTTTTCTTATGAACACCCATGGGGTATATAGAAGTGCTAGCCTCTTCAATACTATATCGATCTGCTTGGTCTTTCTTTTTTTTTTCAATATTTTTAATATATCTGTGTCAGGGTTTGGAAGTTCACATTGATGTATTCTTTCGGTAGCCAATGACTCAATTGTAGAGCCAGGACCATATAACGTTCCAGACTGTATGACAGTGGAGGCAAAGAGATGGTATCGAAGTCTATATCTGACTATGAATCCGTAAATATCGATATTCTTGTGTAAAACTACCGCTCTCTCATGAGAGGGTTGGGGGTGTATGTTGTTGACCACGTGAGGTCGTGATTGGCTGTGGACCACTTCTCGGCGTTCATTTGATTCGATTTCCAACACAAACAACCAGTGTAAACGCTCCATTTGTATCGTATATATAAATCATTTGGTACATCTCCTGGAAATATTTTGCGCATTATTTACTTTTTCTTAATATCTTCTATTAGTGTTGTCTGCAGGTGAACATGATTTTTTACCAGCCCTTCTTTGTCGCAGCATCTGCAGCTCTCCTATCCCCAGGACTGGCTGCTGGATTTTCGACTGAGCTTCAGAGTGTACTGAAGAACACACATGGTGGCAATGAATATGGATACCCTACCGATTTTACCAGGGGTATAATGCCTGTGAGTTCATCTTAAATCGCTGCCATTGGGAGGGGAGACCTTTTGTCAGGGGGTATCCGGGTGTTTGGAAAGGAAATTTGCTAATACAATCTATTCCGACTATTTAAGATACCAGTCCACTCTCACAAGTAGGCCACGATAGTTTTGTTTATTCTTTCTTTTTCCCACTGCTATAACCTTTTCATAACATGGGGAATTAGTAACCATCTTATGGCAGTGATTACTGGAGAGATATTCCCTTCTACACTGGTACGGCCAATCTAGAAATCTAGATCTCCATGAGGAAGCAAGGCTAACGCCATTTAGGTATCTCCAAGGGCTGTGTTTCAACAGAAGCCGATGTGTGGCTTTATAACGGTACACTTTACGTTAGTTCTATGATTGATTCCCAGCTCTACATGAGTGACGTACACTGACGCCCACAGGTCGGGCATGATGAATCCTCCTTGACTGAGGAGCGAACTTTCGAGTCCCTCTACGTCAATCCAATGTTAGATGTGCTAAAGCGCCAAAACCCCCAAACTCGATTTGTGACTTCACCCACGAAAAAGTGAGTTTGATGAAGTAGTCTTGCTAGTTCTCCTGCTGGTGGGTATTAACCTTGTGCCAGCGGCGTCTTTGACACTACTACTTCGCAAACCCTTTACTTTTTCGTCGATGTAAAAACGTCAGGACCTGAAACATTTGAAGCTGTTATATCTGCGTTAGAGCCACTCCGCAAAGAGGGCTATCTGACGTCGTTGAAAGACAACAAGACGGTGACAAGTGGTCCCGTAACCGTCATCGGGACAGGCAACACGCCTCTTGATATGGTTGGACCGGTTGCTAATCGCGACTACTTCTTCGATGCTCATCTAGATGCGCTAGAGGAAAATCCTGAGATCACGTCCTTGATCTCTCCTATTGCATCTACTAGCTTCCAAGAGGCAGTGGGCTCAGTCGCATATAGTGAGGATAATGCTGTTCTGAGTGACGAGCAGCTGGCTACCCTTCGGTCCCAGATTAGTACTGCAAAGGAAAGGGGAATTGGTGCGAGATACTGGGAGACTCCTTATTATCCGATCCGGACCCGTAATGCTGTATGGAGGACGCTTTTCCAGGAAGGTGTCGCTTTGTTGAATGCTGATGATCTGGATGCTGTTGCGGCTTATTTCTGATTGTACAATATATACATATCCGCATGATCTGCCATTAGGGGATTAGATTGTTAGTACATCGAAAATAGAGTTGATTAACGGCGATAGTCATTGTAGCTCAAATAATTATTCGGCCATGAGAACTACGGGTGATGTGACTGGTAAAGCGTCATAGAGACTACACGATAGAATCTCACGATCTTATCAAGATGTGATGAAAAAGTAAACAGTTTCCCTGACGATCAGCTGAAAAAGGCCTGTCCGCTGCACGTGACCCGTCCGTGAGGCTTCTGGGCCAAAGGAAAAATAGATCATAAGAGGGGAAAGCAAAGAGATAAATAGGAAAAATAACGCGCGACTAATAATTCTAATCCCTGCTTTTATATGAAGCCTACAGTCTAGTTCTCAACAGACTCGATGTCTAAGGTCGATGTTGATCTGGGGGATCTCTTGGCTAAGGTGCTCCCCACCGGTGTCAAGGTCACCATTCGCCATATCTCGTCAGCTCCTACCCCATGCACAGCGCTCTTCGCGCCTCCTCCAGGGGAAGAGCCCGAGTCGACATTTTGTGAAAACCATTTTCTGACGGTCTCCGTGAATGCCGACGAGCATGATGGATCCGAGATCATCGTCTTTGGAATCGAAGTTCTGGTCTACAGCACAGCGCATTTAACGACTGTTTTCGTCTCCAAGGCCGATTCTACTGGATTCCTGCACTTACTGAAAAATGCACCGAAAGTTTCGCTCATCAGGCGCATCTCTAACGGCTTCCTATCTTTCCTGGTGCAGACACATCAACGGCCGGGTGTTCGGCTAGTGGTGTCCTTGTTCGCACGGGCTCAGAACCAGTATCTGTTCCCTGGCAGCATTGAAAATTCGGGAAAGCATGTTCTCGACGATAGGGGTCTGATCAAATGGTGGTGTCGCGCTGTCGATCCCATATTACGCGAGTATGAGCCGGAATCAGGATCCCACGAGAAAGGTCTCCTTGACCGTGCCATGGAATCCGCTAAAAGTTCCGCAACAGCATTCCTGATTGTCCCAGGATGTGACAAGTTTGAAACTCGAGGCTTCTTCCCTGGCACCGCAAAATCAGATGATAAAGGACGCCCCAGGTGGCTGAACAGCTACCCGCTTCATCAGCTGTGCGACAACACCAACGCGCCTCCACGCTGCTTGATTCCTCGTTTTCCAGATGATCCGAAAACGCGCTTCCTAGTTGACTTGGACGATGAGCTCCCGCAACAATCGGAGGCCGGGGGCTCAAAGGAAGGCGCTGGGCAATGGAGGAGTGTCAAATCTCTGGACCAGTTCTGGGAGATGATGTCTTTCCGGCAGGAGTGTTCTGCTGGGCGACTGGTCGGATTCTTGTGGCTTGTTATTAACCCTCCAGGACTTGTCAATTCGGTTCAAATGACAAGCTCCAGACCTGTTTTTAAAGAGAAAGCAGAGGATTCCTCGCCAATGACCGTCCCTACATCAGACCAGATGGATTCAAACCCCATTCGGACAGAAGAGTCTGGTTCTACTGATTCCCAGTCTTCAGACGCTGCCAAAGATTCTACAGCAGAGACAACGTCAGGTGGTCCTGTGCAAGACCCATCCTCCCAGACAGGCAGCTTATCTTCTGAGACCCATCCCAAAACACAGCCGATCACAGACCTGAACGCGTTTCACTGGCCAGAAGCAGGCCGGGGTCATGCTGTTATGAGCGAAGAAGATTACAAAACCGCGATCAATTTTTTACTTGAGCAAGACTTCTACAACCTAAAGGTTTCTATAGCCAGCACTATGGCATGGAGTGAGAAAGTTGCATCCATCGTGGACCAGCTTTGGGTCGGTCAGCAAGTCACAGGAAGGAATACGTCTGGAGAATCTGCCGATAAACCCGCTCCAACGACAAACATCATCAACACTGGATTGGTTCGAAAGCGAAAGAAAGATGACCAGAGCCAAGCGACGACAGCAACAACAGCACAGAATGAAGGGCGCGAGGGGAGTGATACAGTCTCAGGTGCAGTGACAGCAGAGACTAGTGCAACAAGGATGAATGAATCCTCTGGAATCAATGTGCTTCAAGCAAACTTGATCCGGAAGAAGAAGAAGGCTTAGATCTGACAGCAGATGCCTCTCGCATTGACTGGAGTTGTAAACGGGTTTATGGGACATTTCAGCGATTTGGGGTTTTTAATTTGGAAAAAACAGGGCCATCAAAATGTATATTCAGAGCAGCAATTGGTCTCTGGACGTTTGTCTTGTTCTCGATTCTATTCTTGGATCTATCGCTATTCCGTCAGCTGGGAGATTTAGATCCGTGGGACCGATAAATGACAGTGAACGGGCCACATGGACTAAATACCAGAAGTGATCAATTCGATTCCTGGAAATGTGTAATCATAAATTTGGTTTCGTGTTGGTTATGACACTTCCTCTGAATATCTTCCTTCTAATTTCACACCCAAGTATATCGGGACTGCTATCCTATGTAAAACAAACTCGAAACAAGACACAGCTCGTTCGACGCGGCTCTCCGGAACGGGCGAAATTACAGGAATCCACCGCATGATGAACCGACCCATAAATATGGACGCCGTCCGTTGCATCCGAATGGAACAACCACGGAACTAATTTAGTTCATAACTTTTCCTCGTTCGGTTGTTGCGTGGCAGCCACCAGGGGGAAAAAAAAAAGCAAAGGTTGAAGGTTGAAACATCGTCGAGTGTTAAGGCCTCCTGCAAAGAGTCAACTGACCGCAATTTATTTCTCTCCGCACTTCACTTCTTCAGCTTCCCGTCCATAGAATGTTGTTGTGACGTTAATTACATCTTTTCTTTGCCAACCGTATTGTCTCTCACCGCGTCGATATCCGCCTATGCTAAAGCTTCAATCGCGTTCGATCTCCCTCGATTTTGGACCGACCATTAGCAATGGCGGGCTCCAGTGGTCTGTGATCGTGGGTTGGGGGTGTCTGATCTGGTATACAACCGTGGTCTTAGTTTGCTATCTGGGATACTTTCAAATGTAAAGCTTCCTATTCGGCCTATGATGCCCTTTTCTGATATCTTTTCTCCTTTCTATTGGGTGTATTCAAACCTATGGCTATTGTGACACAAACTAATGCGGTCTCAAACAGATGGCGATACTTTCTCCAAAGACCCCGGAAATCCCACTCCGCGACTGCCTCCGACGCTCCCCATGTTACTGCAATCCGACCCGTCAAAGGTCTCGAGCCGAATCTGTATGATTGTCTGGCCTCGACCTTCCGTCAGGACTACCCTGCCGATAAACTGACCGTCTATTTTTGTGTCGCATCTCGAAACGATCCTGGCTACCCAACTCTGGAAAAGCTTGTGTCCGATTTTCCACACGCCGGTGCACGCATCTTCATCGAGGAAGAGGATCCTTTGCTCCAGCCAAACGGAGAACGTATCTACGATCTGGGACCAAATCCGAAGATTCGGAACATGAGCCGGGCTTATAGAGAGGCCAAGGGTGATATTGTCTGGATCATAGATTGCAATGTTTGGGTAGGTAAAGGCGTCTGTGGGAGGATGGTTGACCGGCTTTGCGGATTTGGTGCTACTTCGGGCAAAAAGTACAAATTTGTGCATCACTTGCCGCTTGTAGTGGACGTCACTAGCGGTGCCAATTCGACAGAGGAGCAAGATGCACTTGTAGAGTCGTATACCAACGGCGATGCAGATTCCAACAGCGATGTGTCCTCGGCACAGATTATCACCAAACGCGAACAGGGCACTCTTGCGACAGGTGGAGGCCGCTTAGAAGAATTGTTCCTTTCGTCTTCTCATGCAAAAATGTACACCGCAATCAACACAGTTCTCATCGCACCTTGTATCGTGGGCAAATCCAACATGTTCCGGCGGTCGCACCTCGACTATCTCACAATGCCGTCCCCTACCGATCCCAAGAAGCGCAACCCTGGTATCGATTACTTTTCAGACAATATCTGTGAGGATCATCTGATTGGGGACCTACTGTGGAAGAATCGCGTCCGCGAGGAGAAAGAGAAAGGCGAGCGGTTTGGCAAGCATAGCATGGTCTTCGGAGATCTGGCGATCCAGCCTGTGGGAAACATGAGCGTTGGGGATTACATCGCACGCCGGGTTCGTTGGCTACGTGTCCGCAAGTTCACCGTTCTCCTAGCGACCTTAGTCGAGCCGGGCACGGAGTCCTTACTGTGCTCATGTTACGGCGCCTGGGGAGTGACCACGTCCTTGGCCCAATTCCTACAGGAAAAAGGGTTCTGCTGTGCAACTTATATGACCACATGGACTGCCTTCTTCGCGTTTTTCTTCCTCAGCCTGGCCGTCTGGATACTGACCGATTGGACGCTGTATATCAAGTTGCATTCCGCCAAATCTGTTGAGCTCGATGAGGACACGCCACCCTTTGCACGGCCTCCGTCTCGCTGTTTAACTAGACGAACTTTCCTTCAGTGGTTCTCGGCGTGGCTTGGACGCGAGTGCTTAGCCCTCCCCATATGGATCTGGGCCTTCTACGGTGGCGTAACCGTTACTTGGCGCAGCCGTCGATTCCGAGTCGGACTAGACATGAAAGTTCGAGAAATTGGTAGTGAAAAGACGCCCAAGCCTAACTCTAAACAGGCCCCAGGTAGTCAAGGGAATTGAAAGTTAGACAGGATGGGATGCGGCACGCCGAAGCAACGAGGGACGAATGTACGACTTATCACTAGATGAAATGGTAAAAAAAATAAAAAAAACTTTTCTATCCAATTCCCACACATCTATAAAAAAAAAATAAAATAAAAGCCATAAAAGCGTAAATCATTGCGTCGATCCCTCCGCAGCAGCAGGAGCATTCTCCCCAGCACCGGTCTCCAATTCACCACCCTTCTCCGAACTCAACAACCACTCCACAACCTGTCTCCCCTTAGACATCTTCCCAGCATCGCCTTCACCCTCCTGTGCCTCAGCCCCTACTTCAACTTCAACCTCATCCTGCTCCTGCTCCTCACCCTGCTCCTCAGTAGTCCAATCAGCCCTCTCAGCGAGGAAAACAGCATCTAAGCCAGCATCATTCTTAATGGAGATATCAGCACCAGCCCCGACAAGCGCCTTCACGCACTCCAAATGCGTGTTCAGCGCCGCCCAGTGCAACGCCGTGTTACCCGAGTGATTACGATGGTTAACAACAGCCGCCACCTGAGCCTGATCCAGCTGAGTCTCACCCTGAGTGAGAACTCCCAGGAGGAAGTTCAAGATGTCTAAATACCCAATTAGCCTTTCCCTTTCCAATACCACACATCCAACTCCCTTACACCTTCTCCCAAAACAACCGTAAAAGGCCAAAAGAAGGAAAGAGAAAAGGAAAAGAAGTACATACCCTCATTGCCATTCGCAGCAGGAAAATGCAAAAGGCATGATCCGGTACCACCCTCCTCTTCAGGCTCGGAGTCGATCGCCGACGCCACAATCCAGGCCTGCGGGCAGCTGTGCTGGGTGCTCAGGGCCGCCAGGTCGGACTTGAGGGAATCGAGGTCGCCGGCGCGAGCATCGTAGATGAGATCGTCGATTGCGTCGACGGTTAATGTGACGGGGGTTTTTGTGGACATTTTTGCCTCTCTACTTTTGAAATCACGTGGTTGTGATGATCTGTTCAAGGTCTGAGTGACGCTTGAATTGTGGGATTTTTGGGTATCTGGGGGAGTTCGTTAGTGGTGGTTCTTTTGGAGATGGTGTGGTTTTGGTGAAGGTGGGGGGTAGAGGTTATAAAGGTTTATATGAATTTTGATGCCCAAGAGATGTCATGTAAATATCTCAGGGAAAAAAAATAAGAAATAGAAAAGCAAATAACTAGAAAATGACGGAAACTTGATTTTGAAGCCAAAATGCGGTTTGGACATTTTGTAGAGTTTCTATCATCTATCACGTCGCCGTCTTTTTCTTTTCTTTTCTTTTCTTTTCTTTTCTTTTTTTTTCTTTTTGTGATAGTATATCAACCCCTCAGTCTTCAACACCCCACATATATGTATATGAGAGGTATGAGTGCAATGTTTACACAGGGGTCTTAGGATATACAGGGCACAGTGCAATCACAATAAGAAATCCACATACCTTGATTATATATTCTTGAGGGTGCTATACTCGATTTTGTGAAGCATCGGATGGTTGCTGAGAACTTTGATGCCGGGTCATGTGATCCGGTGGATCAATTTGTCGGCATTTCATATCTGCATCACTTATTTACTGTAAAGTGCTCAGCGAGCAGTTACCCGAGGGATGGAGCAGATGAATATGTTACATTTATTGTAAGAAATGAAAGTACACGCTGCTCTATCGTATGCGACCCATGAACTACAGTACAAACGCCCAAGCCCGTCCGTATAAAACAAAAGGTATCTCAATGACAAGACATCGCCTGTGGATTGAATCCGGTCAATCGCGTAGCCATGCCCTTCGCTTTTCCTCCTTCTTCTCTCTCCGTTTCTCCTTGAACATTTTCAGTTCCTTTTTGGTGAGCTTTTTAGCGCTCCGCTCTGCCCGCAGGCTCCTTCCATCATGGCTATTGGCCGCAGCGTCCACATCAAAGAAGGCATTCATCTGCCGGTAGGATTTATTCTGATCATTATGGTTCTCGGGGTTCTGTGATTCATTCTGCCATCGCCCGGTGAACCGGTTGAACGCTCCAACCGCAGCGTAGTGATCCGTACCAGGAGCCACGGCAGATGTATCCTGGGGCGGCTGCTCATACTGCTGGGCGTACGGAGCCGTCGGATCGTAGTCACCGTGGATGGCAGGGTTATAGCCGCCTACCACGGGCGCGTCCTTCTCCGTGGGCGGAGCGCTGGCCTCTACGCCAGGAGGACCTGCTGGCTCCGCCGCCGCCTCCGGCACGCGCGGGTTATCCCACTGCGACACGCCCGTGTAGCGGTTATAGAAGTAGTACGCTCCAGCGTTGGCATCCCAGACAGGTTCCCACCCATCATCATCACCGGGAGGAGCCTCGTTGGGAAGCGGTGGTGGGACCTCTTCATCTGGTAATGGTGGCGCTGAAGCTTCTCCTTCCTCCTCTTGATCGTCCTCACGCTCAGCGGCGTTTTCTTTATTTACTTCTTCCTTTTCCTCTCGCTCTTTGCCTTTTTGTTGTTGTTGTTGTTCTTCCCTTGTGTCCTCCTTGGGCCTATCTGGTGCCTGTGTTTGTGTTTGCGTCCCTGTCCAGTCTCCTTCTGGGCTGTTTTCTTCCTGGGTCACTGGGTCATTTCGCCCCTCCAACGGGGATGCTGACGGATTGTCAGTTGCGTGTTTGGGGGTTGTCTCGGACATTTTTGATTAGCACTTCTTGTTCCCTAGGAAGTGCGCGTCAGAGCCGTGGCAGAAGTGCAGAGGATACTGCGGGCGGAGTGTGAATTGATTGAATTGAATTATGCCGACGCCATATCGCGACCACGCTAACCATTTCGGGATTAGCCACATTGCTTCCCCAGTATATCGAATCGAAGATGAACATCACGATCATAACAATATCTACTATCTACATACGATCCTCACTTCTCAAGAACAAAAACAAGTAGAAACATTTATTTTAATCCAGCAATACTGACAAAACAAAAACAAAACCACTCTTAGCCCCAGTAAAACCCCCACGTAAACAAAAACAGCCCACTACGCAAACTAGCCAATTTCAACTAAAACCCCCTCCCCCTTCAAAGCATCAACAGCCTCAGCAACCCACTCCTGATACCGTCTCAACGGCTCCCGCGGATACAACCTTCTCGCTCCCTGGAATTGCTTCTTGGGCACCGGCACGCCCTCACAAACCTCCAAGACGCGCCCGTACTCCGCAACCGCAACCACACCAAGCTTCTCCTTGCCACAGAACGCGGGGATTTCCTCCGGCGTCTGCTCAGCCCGGTGCTCAAAGACCATGCCTTCTTGGATGTTGCCTTTGACGTGGTAGATATGGCCAGTGGAGGGGCCGTTATCGTGAGTCTCGACGAAGAGGGCGTGGTGGTCTCGCGGGAGGCCGCTTTCGGCAAGGAGGTAGATCGGGTAGGTTGCCATTCTTTGGCTTCATTCTTTTTGCTTTTCTGTTTTCTTACTCTTCTGACTACTTCTAGATTCGTAGTGTGGGTTTTTGTGAGGTGTTTGGAACGATTTTCAAATG